GTGGAGGGCTCCCAGCATCACTTCCTGCTGAGGGATCTCTCCATGTGCCAGGGTAGCAGCCTGGGCCCGCTGGTACCTGTGCATGCTGCGGAAGGGTTGAATTTCCATCTCCTCCCCATGTGCTGGGGAAAGTGGCATGTTAGCACTGACCCACAGCCTCTGCCCCCCACATGCCCTGCAGCAGCCTAGCCCCCAGCCTGCCCTTGCTGTCTCTGCTGGGCTAGCCAGGGACCCTGGGATGTGGCAGCTACAAACTGACTGCAGCCCCCTGGAGACACCTCTTGTCACAGAGTCCCCGGGCGATGCTCTGGAAGGGCTCCCTACGAAGCCAGGCAGGACTCTGGGGAAGTCTCCTCTCTGGGAGCAGCCTGTCTGCAGGACACACAGCTCACCCAGCTTCCACCTTCCTGGGTCTGACCTCGGAGCATTCAGCATCATCTGCCCCTCCGTGCGCATCCCCCAGCGAGTCCACCCAGGCGGGGTCCTGGGGAAGCCAGAGGGTCCTGCCCCCCAACTCCACAGTCAGACGTGACTCTCAGCCAGCCAGTAAAACAGAAGGTTTATTAGACAACAGGAACTTGGTCTAAAACAGAGCTTGTAGGTGCAGAGAACCGGCCTCCTCAGCTGGGTCCATTTTGGGGGGCAGTGAGCCAGACAACCCCGTCTGCACTTCACTCCATGTCCCAGCCAGCCCCAAACTGAAACTCCCTCCTGACCCTCCTCCTCTGGGCTTTGTCCCTTTCCCGGGCCAGGAGGTCACCTGATTCCTTTGTTCTCCAACCCTTCAGCTCTCACCTTGCAGGGGGGGAAGGGCCCAGGCCATCAGTTGCCAGGAAACAGGGTGTCGGCCATTCTCTGTGTCCAGACCCCTGCACACACCTGCCCTCTAGGGCTCTGCAATGATCATACACCCTTATCCCAACCCCTAGATACTTAAGAACTGCCTAGGGGAAACTGAGGCACCCCCACACTATTCAGAGGAAACATTAAGAACAGTCCTGCTTCATCACACCTCTACACCCAGTCCATGGGGCCAGCCTGGGGCCAAGCCCCTGCCCTACAACTCCCCATGCGCTGCCCTAGCTGGTGAGGTACCAGACCGGGGGGCATGTATGGGTGCTGGGTCTCTGCAGAGCCGGTCTCATTCCACAGGGGCCAGGGATTGGTCACGCTTTGGCCGTCCCCAGCACTGTGGGGAGTGACGTCACTGGCTGGGGATCCGGACCGGCAGCTGTCGGTGATGCCAGTGCTAGGAGGGGTGGGGAGCAGAGTGGAGGGCGAGCTGCCTGGATCCTGTTGGCCTGGCCCCAAGCGCAAGAAGTGGCCCAACCTGTCTTGGTTTTCCTGCGGGAGGCCCTGGGAGCTGCCGAGGGGGTGGGGGCTGCCCGGGCCAGGCAGCGAACGGCACAAGGCGATTAGAGACCGCGATAAATAGAACAGGCTTAACTCCTGCGTCCCTGCCTACCGGGGCCTGGCTCCCTGCGGGGCCTGCCTGCACGGGGCACTGTGCGCTGTTCCCACGTCTCTCACTGACCCTCCGCCCTGTCTGCTCCAGCACTGGCCTGGCGCGGCTGCCTGGCCTGGGCCCGTGCTTGGTGTTGGCTTCTGGCCATCCCCCGGTGATGGGAACAGAGAGGGAGCGGTGGCCGGCTGGTCCCGTAGCGCTCCACACAAACCAAAGCGCTGGGTGGTGCAGGGAGCCGCCCTGGCCAGCCCTGGGGTTGGCAGCGCCCTTCCAGCACCCGAGACTTCCCCAGTGCTCTGCCCTGCAGGAGTCCAGCGCCCGTCAGAAATGCAGCTGCTTCTGGGGCGCGAGGGAGTTGTGAGCGGCACAAACCCTGGCTCTGATGCCCAGGCCGGGCAGGCAAGACCTCGGCCTTTGAAGGCCTTCGCCCGACAGTCCCTGGCCCCCGCAGCGCAATCCGTGAGGCAGGTGCTGTGTCTGGGAAGGAGGAGCTGGGTTGGCCCTGCTGGGCTGGAGCTGAACTCACCTGACACCGGCGGGAGCTGTGGTGGCTGCAGGCGCTGAGCAGCCCAGGGGTGCAGAGGGATGCGGGTGCGGTTGGCCCCATGCCCGGCTCCCCCGTGGCGGGACCTGCTGGCTGGGTGCTGGCCCACTGGCGGTCGCTATACTGGGCCTTGAAAGGGAATTGGATCCTAGCTCCACCCTCCCTGCAGCCAGGTCTTACAGCCGGGGCGTCTGGAGCCGGCGAGGGGCGAGGGCAGCCCAGGCTGTGACGGCCAGGGGCCCTGGTGTCCTTTCTCTGCTGTGGCGCAGAGCCCTGCAGCGAGGGGGCCCTGACTCTGGCCAGGGTGGGGGAGCGCAGGGCCTGTCTCCCCGGCCCCTCTCGGAGGGTCCCAGAGCCGCCGGGGCTGCGCTCGTGGCCTGACACTGGGCTTGTGGCTCCAACCCATGGCGGAGCTGGGCTCGCTTTGGGGATGGGGTGTCCTGTGCCTCATAGCAGCGCTGAGGGAGCAGGGAAGGGCCAGGTTTGCCTGCCCAGGGCCCAGCTGTGGCCTGGCTGCGGTGATCTCCGGGCCGTGCATGGGGCAGTGTGTCGGAGCGACCCGGGGCCCAGAACTAGTCTGGTCTCAGAGCAGCGCTTGAATTCAGGCTGGGGTGGTGGGGGCAGGGCCCCTTCTCTGTGCGAGCTGGAGCCGACTGCCAGGGCATGGTGCTGGAGACAGGCTCGGCTGCCCTCTTCAGCCGTGGGGGGATCGTGCGCGTCCTGCGGCCCTCGCGGGGGGGGGCTGCGCTGGAGCCCGGCCTCCCGGTGGGCCGGGGGGTGAGGTGGCCATCGGCACAAGCAACGGGGCTGGGCCCAGGTCTCTCTTCACAGCCCACACAGGCTGCTCCGCGGGCATCATGCCAGTGTTCCCTGGCCGAGCGGGGCCCGCGGAGCCGGTGTCTGGAGGGCAGGGGGCTGGTACAGGCTGGGCCTGTGGGCGGGCTGCGCTCAGCCACCGGAGCGCCGGGGCGAGGAGGAGTCCTGGCTGCAGCTGCTCTCCCCGCCTTCGCCCTTCAGAGTCCCCCGCAGCCCTGACGCAGCCGGCCCAGCCCAGGGCCAGCTGTGATCTCTGCCCTGGTCGTCAATATCTACCACCTGAAGCTCCTCCCACCCCTTTCCCTGCCCGGGCATGCCCCAATGCCTCCTGCCCCAATGCCCCCCCCTTCCTGCTTGTGGGACAGGGCGACCCAGGGAGCCCCCAGCTCGTGCAGGTGACCTCAGCCCAGACGAGTGACACACACACACACACGGTGCCACACGGCGCCTGGCCTGGCGGAGCTGCCTTGCTCCCTCTCAGGGGAGCCTGGCCTCTGACATGGGCTGTAGAGCATGGGGGGCTGGGACTCCTGCCCTCGGCACCCCCTTCCCTGGCGGCAGCCCCCCCGACAGGTGCCCCCTGCTCTTCCTGCCCTGGTGCTATGCCCATAACTGCAGGGTGGATTTGAACATCCAGCACTCAAAGCAGGTCACTGCCATGCACTGACTGGCTTACCCAGCCGTGCCCATGGTCTCTGAGGGAAAACCCAGCTGTCTAACGTGCCCTGTACAGACACCCCGAAACAGCCTTTCCCTGCGTGCCCTGCAGCCCCCGAACTCAGAGCAAGAGGAGCCCGGGGGGGGAGGGGCAGTGCCCGCCTCTTTGTGCAGTCATGGCCATGCGTGTGCCCTGGTCCCCGTGACCTGGGCTCGAAGTCACAATACCAAGCAGCCAGCTGGCTGCCAGGCTGCACCTGCACGGCTTGTTCCCTGGCTTTTGGGACCCCTACTATGCACATGGCTCCAGGGCCCCACTGGTCCCATTTGCATCTCCCTTGTGAAGGCCTGGCGTCAGTCCCCTGGTGAGGGTGCCCTGGCCAGCAGCCGGTCCCTCTCTGTACTTGTGAGTGAGTTACGCCTCCCACCTTGTCCCTGGGGGGCAGGGGGCACCATGCCTGTTCTACAGATGGGGAAACTGAGACATGAGGGAGTGACTTGCCCAAGGTCACACATGGCAGGCAGGTAGAGAACCCAGGAGTCCCGGCAGCCCCATACATTAGTGCCAGTGCTTCCTTTCTTGTCTGCTCCTCCCCTGCCCCCAGGAGTGGGTGAGCCCGATAATCCCCACGCTCTGACTCCGGCTAATTCCCTGAGCTATAAATATTGCCCTTGGCCAGGGGCCTCTAAGTCACTGCAGCCGCCTGGCAGGGCAGGATTAGAGCAGCTGCCGGGCGGGGGGCAGGGGCGCCTGCCTCCGGCCAGGGCTCCCAGTCAGGCCTCTCCCGAGGGTGGGACCTGCACACGTTCCTGTTAGCAGGGCAATCAGGGACCTGTGAGCCCCCTCTGCCCTGACGGAGAGCCACCGAGGGGGCTGGTTTGTGGACTGCTGCTGTGCCCTGCAACGGGGCTGGACAGGGCCCCTGGGACCTCAGGAATACTGGCCCTCACTCCTGACCCACAGCCCCCAATAGCCCAGCCCTGGGCTCCCCCCCCAGCTCTGCCGTTGCCCCTCACTCCCAACCCTCCGCCCCCAATAGCCCAGCCCAGAACACTCAATATCTACCACCTGAAGCTCCTCCCACCCCTTTCCCTGCCCGGGCATGTCCCAATGCCTCCTGCCCCAGTGCCCCCCCTTCCTGCTTGTGGGGCAGGGCAACCCAGGGAGTCCCCAGCTAGTGCAGGTGGCCTCAGCCCAACACAGAGAGAGAGAGAGGGCTGGTCTCAGCGCACTGGGCTGAACACTGCGCTGGGGGATGGGTCCCTGGGATGTGCCCAGCTCGGTTCCCCTTCAGGAGGGGCTGGTGTGCCCCAGCTCTGCCTGGCGCCTGTGGGGTGTCCCTTCTGCGTGGGGGAAGGCAGGGGTCCGCAGGCGGGTGCTGGCCCAGCTGTGCCGGGGGCAGGGGTCCGCAGGCGGGTGCTGGCCCAGCTGTGATGGGGACAGGGGCACCAGGGGGCAGGGTCTCCAGGTGGATGCTGGCTCGGGGTCCCTGCTGAGCTCTCTGTCCCCCTCCACAGGCCGCAATGAGCCCCTGCGGAAGGAGCGGCCCAAGTGGAAGAGCGACTACCCCATGACGGACGGCCAGCTGCGCAGCAAGCGGGACGAGTTCTGGGACACGGCGCCCGCCTTCGAGGGCCGCAAGGAGATCTGGGATGCCCTGAAGGCAGCTGCCTACGCCGTGGAGGCCAACGACCATGGGCTGGCCCAGGCCATCCTGGATGGTGCCAGCATCACCCTGCCCCATGGTAGGCAGGATGAGGACGGGGGGCGGGAGGGGGGCAGACACATCAGGCAGGATGGGGACCTGAGGGGGGAGGGGGACAGGGACTTCAGGCCAGCAGGGTGGGAGGGGACATGGGGCCAGAGGGGCAAGATGGTGACATATGGTGGGCAGGGGCTAATGGGGTGGGATGAGAATGGGGGCCCGGGCTTTGGACCCACGGGCAGGGCGGGGGATGCAGTGCTGCAGGAGAACCGCTGGAGGGCAGACAGATTCCTCTCCCTGTGCAGGGGTAGACACCAGTGGGGCCAGTAAGAATTGAAAGAGGGCTGAGGGAGGGGACTGGTGCCTGCACAGCAGGGTGGGAGTGTTCAGGGGGGCAGCTCATCCCAGGGGCCCCATGACACTAACTGCCCTGCCCCTCGTCAGCAGGGCAGCCACGGCTGACTGTGTCCCTTCCCCTCTGCGCTGGGCCTCCCCAAGGCAGGGCATGTTGGCCGGGGAGGTGACCCAGGAGTGGGCCCTGCACTGGGGAAGCCTCTGGAGCCTGCTGACCTCCAGGGTGAAGCCTGGAAGCTGTTGGACCCGCTGTGCCCCCAAACCATTCAGCTGGGTTGGCCTCTCAAACTGCTCTGCTGATGACACACAGCCCGCCCCTCCGGGCCCTGTTATCACCCAACACAACCACAGGTGGCGCCACACACCCAACTGAGTCACCTGAGTGCTTTACCTAAGCCACTCATGGACCGACAATGGAGGCACCAGCCAGTGTTCCAGCTCCCGAGCCTTGCACCCCTACTGGAGTATAAACCCAGAATTATCCCGTCCTACACAGGGGTCTGTACCGTGCAAGCTCATTAATTAGTCTGCTTCCCCCTCGATGTGGGAAAGACATGCACCAGCCTTTGTTACAGAGCTGAGATTCCCTAATGCTTCACCCAAAAACACACTGGTTAAGATAAAACGTAAAATAGATTTATTAACTACAGAAAGATAGATTTTAAGTGACTATAAATGATAGCAAACAGATCAAAGTAGATTACCCAGCAAATAAACAAAAATGCAATCTAAGCCTAATATACTAGATAGGATTTGAATCAAACAGTGTCTCACCCTGTGAGCTAGTACAAGCCATTTGTAGATGCTCTGTACACAGGCAGGAACCCTCTCTTCCAGCCTGGGAGTAGCACTTCCCCCAGTTCAGTCTTTGTTCCTCAGGTGTTTCCAGGTGTTGAGTTGTAGAGGGAGTGAGGCTCCTTGGTGATGTCACTTCCCCCTTTTAGTTTTTCCATACGGCGGGAACTCCTTAGATCCAAGCCAAGTGCCCAGCTCAGTTTATGGAAAAATACAGGTACCAAAATGGAGTTCAGTATCATGTGGTCTGGTCACATGCCCTTGCATGTCTCCCTGAGTCATAGCAGTCATTATCCATAGGCTGTCTGAAGGGTCCCCAGGTGAGGACAAGCCTTTCCCATGGCCCATTGTTTCCACGGATGGGCCATTAGCACTGTCTAGCTTCTTCCCTATTGTACCTGAAAGATTAGCTGTGGGTGTGACCCAGAGCAAGCTCATTTGAAATACAGATACAAGGTCAATAGTCATAACTCCAGACACACAAATGATACATGCCTACAAATAGGATAATCATATTCAGCAAATTGTAACTTTTCCATTGATAGATGAATATGGGGCAGTGTCACACTGGACACAGACCATCTGCCTGCAGGGGCTCCCTGTGCCCCAGCCCTGCTGTGGGGGTGCTGGGGGGAGAGGCTCCCGGAACCCACTCACCCCACCTGGGATTGGGGTCTCCCTCGGCTCAGCTCCAGGCACGTGGGCAGCTCATGTGGCTCGGGCCGGTGGCTTCTCCCAGACTGAAATGAAGAGCCCCAGAGCTGTGCGGCTCGGGGGGTCCTGGCTGTGTCTAGTCCCGGAGCCCCAGCTCCCCCAGCCAGCTCTCAGATCCCAAAAGGAGAATCTATCTGACCGCTGGCACTGAGCCATGGTGCCTGAAAGGCCACACTCCTCCTGGGGCTGGGAGGTCTGTAGGGGCAGGGAAAGGGTGCGGGGGCGGGGGAAGAGCTTCAGGAGGTGGATTTTGGGTGTTCTGGGCTGGAATACCTTCGGGCTGCAGGTTGGGATTGAGGAGCACCGTCAGAGCTATTTTGGGGGCAGGGGGTGTCATGGAATCCCCGGGCGATGCTCTGGAACTGCTCCCCATGACGTCAGTCAGGACTCTGGGGAAGTCTCCTTTCTGGGAGCAGCCTGTCTGCAGGACACACAGCTCACACGGCTTCCCCCTTCCTAGGTCTGACCTCGGAGCATTCAGCCTCCTCTGCCCCTCCGTGCACTTCCCCCAGCGAGTCCGCTCAGGCGGGGTCCTGGGGAAGCCAGAGGGTCCTGCCCCCCAACTCCGCAGTCAGACGGGACTCTCAGCCAGCCAGTAAAACAGAAGGTTTATTAGACGACAGGCACATGGTCTAAAACAGAGCTTGTAGGTGCAGAGAACACCTACTCTCAGCTGGGTCCATTTTGGGGGGCAGTGAGCCAGATAACCATGTCTGCCCTTCACTCCTCATCCCCAGCCAGCCCCAAACTGAAACTCCCTCCAGCCCCTCCTCCTCTGGGCTTTGTCCCTTTCCCGGGCCAGGAGGTCACCGGATTCCTTTGTTCTCCAACCCTTTAGCTCTCACCTTGGAGGGGGGAAGGGCCCAGGCCATCAGTGGCCAGGAAACAGGGTGTCGGCCATTCTCTGTGTCCAGACCCCTGCACACACCTGCCCTCTAGGGCTCTGCAATGATCATACACCCTTATCCCACCCCCTAGATACTTAAGAACTGCCTAGGGGAAACTGAGGCACCCCCACACTATTCAGAGGAAACATTAAGAACAGTCCCGCTTCGTCACAGGGGGACCCCAGGACTGGGCTAGCAGGGTCTGTGGGTCGGGATTGAGGGGCACCAGCAGAGGGGTCTGTGTTGTTGGTGGCTCCTGCCCGTGCTGTATCTGCCTCCAGCTCCTTCCCCTCACCACTTTGCTGGTGTCTCTGGCTCCCCGACAGGGTCCCTAACTGAGTGCTACGATGAGCTGGGGAACCGCTACCAGCTACCCGTGTACTGCCTGGCGCCACCTGCCAACCTCATACTGGAGCGGGGCAGCGACGAGAGCACGGAGCCCCCGGAGCCTGCAGCCAGCCCCCGGCGCGAGTTCCCGCTCAAGGTGCGGCTCTCCACTGGCAAGGACCTGCGGCTGAGCGCCAGCGTGGCCGACACCGTGGGGCAGCTGAAGAAGCAGCTGCAGGCCCAGGAGGGCATTGAGCCGGGCTGGCAGCGCTGGTTCTTCTCCGGCAAGCTGCTGACGGACCGCACGCGGCTGCATGAAGCCAAGATCCAGAAGGACTTTGTCATCCAGGTGATCGTGAACCAGCCGCTGGTGCCCAGGAACTGAGCCGGGCCGGCTGACGGGCGCAGGGGCTGCTGGGCCCCAGGGAAAGCCAGCGGGGCCCTCGGCGCCGGCGAACTGAGTCTCCACCCCAGAGGTGACAGCACTTGGAGCGTCGCCTGCCGGGCACAGCTGGGCACGCAGCCCTGGGCAGAGCCGCACGGCGGGGCTTACGCTCGCCTCTGCGTCGATCCTCCCCGCCCCTTCGTGCCTGCCTCTGCCCCCCGTGCCCCGCTGCAGCCGCGGGCTGGGGGCTTGCTGGCATCAGAACACAGCTGCCCCGTCAAAGCCCTTTCCCTGGAGGTCAGTCTCAGGAAGGGCTGCCAGGGTGGGCACGGCGCCTTGGGGTGTGTGGGGCCTGTCTCACCCCATCGGCACTTGGACACTGTCATAAAATGGTTTAGAGGTTTGAGACCAAACCACTTCCTGTGGGAGCCACGTTCCCAGGGACCCTGCAGTGCCCACGGCGCCTGGCACCTCAGGCTGCCCTCCTGAGCCTGGCTCCTGTGGTGAACCAGCCTGGGCACTCTGCCCTGCCGCCTGTCGCCTGGCACCTCCCAGCCGGGCAGGGGGCAGCTCTCCCGGTGTCTATGGGTCTCCATATTTATCAATAAAGCCTTTTTAGCTTCCCCCGGCCCCGATGCCTCCAGCGCCTGCTTTCACATCGGCCAGGGCTGGGGCACAGGCATGGCCTGGCCAGCCTGCGTGGCACACCTGGGACTGCTCCTTAGAGCTGCCCCTTCCCAGCCCAGCCCTTGGCCCTGCTGGACAGGGTACTGGCCTCACCCCAACCCCCCCGCCCCTCAGCCCACTGCTTCTCCCATGTCACCAAAGGGGGAAACTGAGGCACAGAGGGCCAGCGACTCCCCGGTCACTAGAGCAGAGCTGGGAATTGAATCCAGGCGTCCTGGTGCCCAGTCTGCTGCTGTAACCACTAGGTTATGTCACCTTCTCTGGTAACTGCCTAACTGCTGTTGTAGCCACTGATGGGCCCCTCCCCAGCATATGGAACCCGAAGCAGCCTCCGCCCACCTCCTGGGCTCCCTGCCCCCTTAGGCTGGCCAGCACCAGCCCCTGGCACCTATCTGAGCTCAGCCACCCTCTGGGGCTGGCTGCTCCCCTGAACACAGCCCCTTCCCCAGGCCTTCTGGACTCCGACAGGAGCATCTGGCCCCACCTGCACATGGACACGCGGGCCTGTGGGGCATCACCTGGCTGCTCCTGGTGCCCAGGGGCCTGGCTGACCTTCCCATCTCAGCCCATGTCCCTATGGGCTCGGCAGGCCAGTGGGGCGGGGCAGGAAGACCTGGGTGCTTGCTGTGGGCACCGCCAGCCCTTATCATCCCCAGGAAGGCCCTGCCGGGGCAGTGCCTGTCCCCTTCTCAAGCCCAACCCACCCGGCCCCCCACGAGTGGGGCACACAATTGGGCTTCCCTCAGCTCTGCCCCCTGGCTGGGAGGGTCCTGTGCCGGCAGCAGGGGCTACATGTCTGTCTTGGCTGATGTCCACCTGCCGGCCGTGGGGTCCGGATGGAGCTGTGCCCCGGCAGGTGGCTCCTCCCAGCGGGGCAGGCTTGCCCCGCTCACCGCGGTGCCCGTCTCTGGGACGCGCCCATCTCGGGGCGACTTCAGAGCCCCCTACGGGAACCTCTGGTGGAGAGGTCAAAGGTCAGCGCGGGGAGCATGGGGCAGGGGCAGCTGGTGTCCCCCACCCCTTGGGAGGCCCACCACCGTGACACAGCCCATGAAAAAGCTGGGCCAAAGCAGGGGGTGGAGAGCCCCCCACTGTTTCACCAGCCCCCAGTGTGTGGGGAGCAGAACCTGTCGGCCCCCGAGTGACTCGCACTGACCCCGGGCATTGCTTCTGGCAACACTGGTCGGCTCCCCCACCCCCGGCTCCCCCGCCCTGCTCCGAGGGCTCCCCCCCCCGGCTCCCCCGCCCTGCTCCGAGGGCTCCCCCCCCAGCTCCCCTGCCCGGCCCCCCGGGCTTCCCCATCTCCCGGCTCCCCCGCCCTGCTCCCAGGGCTTCCCCAGCCCCCGGCTCCCCCGCCCTGCCCCCCAGGCTCCCCCACCCCCTGTCTCCCCTGCCCTGCCCCCCCAGCTCCCCCACCCTGCCATCCTCCGCCCGCCCCGCAGCCACTGGCTGACAAATGGGGAGGTACAGCGGTGGGGCTGAGCACGGTGCCCAGAGCCAGGAATAGCTCCCGCGCCCCGCGGCCTGGCTCAGCACAAACTATTCCCACCATTCCTGGCTCCCCGGCCGGGGGCGGGGGCACAGGCCGGGGTCGGGGGGTGAGGCACAGGTTGGGGGGCGCGGGGAGGGGGGCACAGGTCAGGGGGGCGGGGTGGGGATGGCAGCACAGGCCAGGGGGGTGGGGACGGGGGCACAGGCCGGGGGGGGCACAGGCTGGGGGGTGCAGGGTTGGGGGCACAGGCCAGGGGGGCACAGGCCAGGGGGATGGGGACGGGGGCATAGGCCGGGGGAGGCACAGGCTGGGGGGCTGGGGCAGGGATGGGGGGCACAGGCCAGGGGGCGGGGCACAGGCCTGGGGGGGCACAGGCTGGGGGGATGGGGACGGGGGCACAGGCCAGAGGGGGTGGGGCAGAGGCCGGGGGGGTGGGGCGGGGACGGGGGCACAGGCTGGGGGGCGGGGCACAGGCCGGGGGGGCACAGGCCGGGGGGATGGGGACAGGTGCACAGGCCGGGGGGGGCACAGTCTGGGGGGGTGGGGCGGGGACGGGGGCACAGGCCGGGGGGATGGGGACAGGTGCACAGGCCGGGGGGGGCACAGTCTGGGGGGGTGGGGCGGGGACGGGGGCACAGGCCGGGGGGATGGGGACGGGGGCACAGGCTGGGGGGCGGGGCACAGGCTGGGGGAGGCACAGGCCAGGGGGGCACAGGCCGGGGGGCTGGGGCAGGGATGGGGACACAGGCCAGGGGGCGGGGCACAGGCCAAGGGGCGGGGCACAGGCCGGGGGGCACAGGCCAGGGGGGCACAGGCCGGGGGGGTGGGGACGGGGGGCACAGGCTGGGCAGCGCGTCCCGGGCTGGGCTGTGTCTGAGCTTTGTGCGCAGAGCCAGCAGCTCCTGAGCTCATCCCTCAAAGCAGCCAAAGCATCCCCGGCCCCCCAGCCGGGCCCAGGGGGACAGACGCTGCCCGTTCTCACGTGGCGCCCGCCTGGGGCAGCCGGCGGCTGCGGGGCACCCAGGGCACCGTGGAGCTGGCCCCGTCACACGGAAATTACCCCAGGGTCCGGGGGGCTCTGGCTGGGGGGAGCGACGTGAGGTCAGGTGTGGGAACGGAACAAAGTGCCCCCCTGCCCAGACTGCTGGGGGTCCTGGCACAGGGCCAGCCAAGGCCCCCACCCCACAGAGCCCCCCGTGCAACCCGGCCTGCCCAGGAGTCTCCCGGCTCCCCACAGAGCAGCACCCAGTCCCCCTCTGCGCGGCCCAGCGAGTGGGGCACGGCACCGGGGCCAGGCGCTGGGTGAAGGTGACCCCGGGCAGCAGGGCTGAGAATGCAGCCGGGTGAGCTCATGACAAAGGCTCCCGGGTCGCGTGGGCCGGGCACGTGTTGGCTCCCTGGGGCCTTGGGGCGGAGGAGCTGCAGTGCATAAACCGCGGGAGCCACGGAGCCCCCCACCGCAGCGTGCGCTCGGCCGGGGCCCCAGGCGGCTCCAGGGCACTGCCAGCGTCCCTGCCCAGGAGAGGAGCCGCTGGCCTGGGCACCCATGGAGCAGGGCGTGAAGTGGGCCACAGAGCTGGTTGACCAGAAGCTGGAGGAGCAGGAGGTGAGACCCTGGGTGAGCGAGCTGGAGGGCAAAGGGGGCAAGGAGCGGGGCTGGGCTGGGGGTGACGGGGGGCTCCTGGAGCTGGGCTGGGCTGGGGGTCACGGGCGGTGCCTGGAGCGGGGCTGGGCTGCGGGTGACGGGGGGCTCCTGGAGCGGGGCTGGGCTGGGGGTGACGGGCGGGCGCCTGGAGCGGGGCTGGGCTGGGGTGATGGGGGGGCTCCTGGAACGGGGCTGGGCTGGGGGTCACGGGCAGCGCCTGGAGCTGGGCTGGGCTGGGGGTGACGGGGGGCGCCTGGAGCGGGGCTGGGCTGGGGGTCACGGGCGGCGCCTGGAGCGGGGCTGGGCTGCGGGTGACGGGGGGGTGCCTGGAGCGGGGCTGGGCTGGGGGTGACGGGGGGGCGCCTGGAGCGGGGCTGGGCTGGGGGTGACGGGGGGGCGCCTGGAGCGGGGCTGGGCTGGGGGTGACGGGGGGGTGCCTGGAGCGGGGCTGGGCTGGGGGTGACGGGCGGTGCCTGGAACGGGGCTGGGCTGGGGGTCACGGGCGGTGCCTGGAGCGGGGCTGGGCTGGGGATGACGGGGGGGGGGCTCCTGGAGGCGGGGCTGGGCTGGGGGTGACAGGGGGGTGCCAGAAGCGGGGCTGGGCTGGGGATGACGGGGGGGCTCCTGGAGCGGGGCTGGGCTGGGGGTGACGGGGGGGCTCCTGGAGCGGGGCTGGGCTGGAGGTGACAGGGGGGCGCCTGGAGCGGGGCTGGGCTGGGGGTGACGGGGGGGCGCCTGGAGCGGGGTTGGGCTGGGGGGATGACGGGGGGGCTCCTGGAGCGGGGCTGGGCTGGGGGTGACGGGCGGGCGCCTGGAGCGGGGCTGGGCTGGAGGTGACAGGGGGCGCCTGGAGCGGGGCTGGGCTGGGGGTCACGGGCGGCGCCTGGATCGGGGCTGGGCCTCAGGGGCCAGGCTCTCCGCAGGGCTGCATTACCATTGGGTGCCTACACCTGAACCTGCGCCCATCACCATGGGCTCAGGGCGCCTGGGTTCGGTAACCACCCAGACTCACCGACTGGGGAAACGCCTCCGTCTGCGCTGGCCCCGTGCCTGGGCCTGTGCTCGGCGGGCAGCCAGGGGCCGGGCACCCCGTTCAGGGCTGACGCTGGGCGCGTGCCATGCGGTGGGCAGGGAGGCCGTAAGGCCCTGCCCCAGGTAGGGCGTTCGGACGCTCTTGAAATGGGAGGGCGTGGGGTACAGGGCACCAGCATGGGGTGTGGGGTGCAGTGGGGGGGGAGTCAGGCCCATGGCAAGTGCAGGCATGGGGTCGCCCCTGCTCGGGGTGGGCCCCAGGCCTGGGGGATCCTGGGAGGGGCCCTTGGGGAGACGAGCCTTTGGGGCTGGCCACAGGGAGTGAGCAGACCCAGATCAATGGGGCGTGTCCATGAGGACGCCAGCCCCACCTCCTGGTCTGTTATGGGGCCGCCAGGGCTGGAAGTGCCCAGAGATTAAGCTGTTGCCCTTGGCAACTCAGGCTAAACCCCGTGCAGTGCCCATGTGGGTACCGGGGCTGTGGCGGGAGGGGGCCTGGGCCGAATGCCAAGGGAGGCAGGGGACGGACTCCTGAGGGGCTGTGGGGGGGCAGGCCGGGGCCTGGCCCTCACCCTGCCGGCTTTTCTGCTTGGCTTCACAGCGGCGCAAGAGCCAGGCCCCCGAGATGCCGCCGGCGGTGGCGAGAATGGACACGCCGGGGCTGGAGGACGAGAAGCGCCGCGGCCCCGTTCACTGGGGCATCGAGGGGCTCAAGGTACGCGGGCTTGGCGTGCCCTGCCGGGGGCATCACAGCCAGACCCTGGCAGCCTCACCCCCTCACCAGCACAGCGAGCCCTGCAGCCCCACACACCGTGTCTGGCTTGCACTGTTAACCCTTTCCTGCCCCAGCCCCGCCCATCAGACTGGGCCAGGAAGGTGCAGGGCTGGGCACTGAGGGGTTACCCTGGCTGCGGCCCCCACCACACGCTGCCTGCATTGGCACTGGGGGTCAGCAGGGAACTGGCCCCACGTCTGGGCTCGTCACCTCCCCCTGGGCACCCGTGTCCGGAGCTGCAGGCTGGGTCCAGGCCAGATGGAGCGGGGCCGACGTGGTGCAGAGGGGGAACCTACGGTATTCGGGAGGCAGCCCCAGCCAGAGGGCCCAGCCAGCGGCATGAGGGGCAGGGGCCGGCCAGACCCGGGGGCAGGCTGGCAGTGCTGTGTGGGAGGCCCTGCCCCTGCACTGGGGCCGTGTGGGCAGCCCCTGTGCGTGCAGAGCCCCACCGGGAGCCCAGCACAGGAGCGGGGCTGGGCTGGGCTGTTCTAGGCTGATGCCCCCAACAGGCCTGGCTGGCTGGGGCTGGTCTCTGCACCTTGAATCCATTCCTCACCCCCCCATGGAGTGTGGGGCACAGGGCCAGCACCAAGCCCCTGGCTCACTGCCCCCAGGGTGCTGGGCAGGAACCCCCTCAGCAGCCTGCCAGACACCTGGCCCAGGCCAGCTGTTAAACACAGATGACAGCGCCGCCCCACGTGGCTTCCCTCTGCTGGGACTGGCGTCGGGCAGTCTGTGATGGGGGGGTCGGCCGTTGGGGGCTGGGCAGTGCGTGATGGTGCAGGGGTTTCCTGGTTGGGGGCTGGAGCAGGCATTCTGGGAGGGATCAGGGCTGAGGGATTGATGAGGGGCCAGGGGTTGGGTGTCACGGACTCACCGATCGTGCCCACTCTTGGCCCCGTGTGGTCCATGGCGGGGTGCCCCTTTCAGTGAGACAGCCCTTCTCCCGGGGGTCCACTCTCTGTCGGGGTTAAGCCCCTTCACCTCCTGGAGCCACACCTCTCTGAGCCTTAGCACGCCTTTCTCTCGCCGTGGGCCCCTCAGGGAGTCCACTTGCTCTGGACCCACGGCCTTCACCCCCCGAAGGGGACGATGCAACCCTGTTCTCTAGACAGGAGTGACTCTCAGCCAGCATAAAACAGGAGGTTTATTGAGCATTGAACACAACACGGGTAACTCGCATGATCTCAGGCCTGGCCTCCCTCAGCACAGCACATCCAAGTCTCCCCTGCACCCAGGGGGGCTCTGCCTGCTCCCTCTCTCCCTCCCTCCAGCCCAGAGCCCCCCTGCTTCCCAGCTGGGCATCTGATGTCACCGGCCCCAAGCCCCCCTGTGACGAAGTGGGACTGTTCTTAATGTTTCCTCTGAATAGTGTGGGGGTGCCTCAGTTTCCCCTAGGCAGTTCTTAAGTATCTAGGGGGTGGGGTAAGGGTGTATGATCATTGCAGAGCCCTAGAGGGCAGGTGTGTGCAGGGGTCTGGACACAGAGAATGGCCGACACCCTGTTTCCTGGCCACTGATGGCCTGGGCCCTTCCCCCCTGCAAGGTGAGAGCTAAAGGGTTGGAGAACAAAGGAATCAGGTGACCTCCTGGCCCGGGAAAGGAGCAAAGCCCAGAGGAGGAGGGGCTGGAGGGGGTTTTCAGTTTGGGGCTGGCTGGGACATGGAGTGAAGTGCAGACGTGGTTGTCTGACTCACTGCCCCCCAAAATGGACCCAGCTGAGGGGTCCCGTTCTCTGCACCTGCAAGCTCTGTTTTAGACCATGTTCCTGTCGTCTAATAAACCTTCTGTTTTACTGGCTGGCTGAGAGTCACGTCTGACTGTGGAGTTGGGGGGCAGGACCCTCTGGCTTCCCCAGGAGCCCCGCCTGAGCGGACTCACTGGGGGGAAGCGCACGGAGGGGCAGAGGATGCTGAATGCTCCGAGGTCAGACCCAGGAAGGTGGAAGCTGTGTGAGCTGTGTGTCCTGCAGACAGGCTGCTCACAGAAAGGCGACTGCCCCAGAGTCCTGACTGGCTTCATGGGGAGCAGTTCCAGAGCATCGCCCAGAGACTCCGTGACACCCCCTCTGTCCATTGTCTTCCCTCCAGGTAAACAGGAAACCGGGTCGCCTGGGCCCCTCTCCTCTCGTCTGCCCTCTTGCCCCTCTGGCTGGACCAACTGGTCAGGTCCCGGGGGTTCTCTCTTCACAGCCCTTGTTCTCCCGCTGGCCAGAACCGGCTACCACTGAGCTGGGTCCCCAGGTCGCCAGTCGCTGGGGTCTCCATGCTCCAGGCCATCGGCTGGGTCCCCCGTTCTCTGGCCGGTCCTCTGGAACAACAAACTCCCTCTCCCATCCCCTCGTTAAACCAGTAACACTGCTTCCCACCCCCTCTGCATGCAACCCAGAAAGCCCCCCATAGGAAACAAGGAACAACCAAGAAACCCCCCCATGTCGTTACAGGGTGATTGTTAAGAGGCCAGGGAAGGGCCAGGCAGTTGAGAGTCAGGAGATCTGTGGGGGGTGGGTTGGGGGTCAGGATCAGGGGGTCTGGGTTGGGGTCAGGACCAGAGAGTCTGTGCGGAGGGTTGGGGATCAGGACCAGGGGCCAGGCAGATGGGGGTCAGGACCAGGAGGTCTGTGGAGAGGGTTGGGGATCAGGACCAGGGGCCAGGCAGATGGGGGTCAGGACCAGGAGGTCTGTGGAGAGGGTTGGGGGTCAGGACCAGGGGCCAGGCAGATGGGGGTCAGGACCAGGAGGTCTGTGGAGAGGGTTGGGGGTCAGGACCAGGGGCCAGGCAGATGGGGACCAGGGAGTCGGTGGGAGGGACAGGTTGGGGGTATCCCACATCCTGCTTGTTTAAAGCCAGGGAACGGGCGCTGCCGGGGAGGGACCCAGGAGTCCGGTGCCCTGGCAGGGCTCTCCCCAGAGGCTCCAGCGTGGCTCTGCCCCGTCTCCGCAGGGCCAGGGGCGGGAGCGGACGAGCTCGCTGGACCTGCGCCGGGAGATCATCCACGTGGGCGGCATCCAGTACCTCTTCGAGCTGCGCAAGACGCGCCGGAAGCGCAGGGTGGAGAAGGCGGCACCGGAGCCCGAGCCGGAGCCCGAGGAGATTGTAAGGGGGGAGGGGAGGGTCCCGGGAGGATGTGGGTCTGTGCCATCCTGGCTGGGGGGCCCAGCAGATCCGTGTTGTTGACCAAGATGGTGGCCACCCCACAGAAAAGCCCCCTCCCAGTCAGAGCTCCTCTGGGGCAGGGGCTCTGGGGCGAGGGCATGGAGCTGGCATCCTCCCCTGTGAGGCAGGGGCTCTGGGGCCAGGTTCGTGGAGCTCCCCACATGGGGCACACAGACCCCTTGAGCTGCTGTCCCATCCACCCTGCAGGTGGGCCCCGTGGAGGAGGAGACGTTCCTGAGGGCAGCTGTGCAGGGCAAGATCCGTGTCATTGAGACGTTCCTGGGGGACGGGGGCTCCCCTGACACCTGTGATGAGGTAACGTCCCTCCCCATCCCTCGCCCCCCCGGCAAACCTGCGCAAGCAGGCTCCAGCCAGTGGGCAGTGCCCAGCCCAGGCCCCTCCACCCCCACAGCCAGCCCAGCCCCCCAACAGCCCCCTTGGGCATCCAGTGCTGGAGTCGAGAACGCTGGGGCCCTGAGGACTATGGAAACTGGGGAGGGGCCCCAATCTGGCCCAGTCCCTCCTTGATGAAGGGCTGTCGAGTCGAAATCTGAGTTGTGCTGTGACCCAGTGTGCCAGGTCACAACGCCACCCGCCCAAATCCGGTGGTGGGGGGGGGCCCTTGAGATGGGGGCCCTGTGCCAGGGCACCGAGGGCATGCTGGTTAATTTGGGTCTGTTGGCACCTAGATACCAGGGGTCAAGCCTTCCCCAGATGGACCTTGGATGGCTGGGCTGGGGCACCCCCTCTTCCCAGGCATCTCCCGGAGAAAGCCATCCTCCCTGGAGACGGTGCCTCGCCCAGCCGACCCCGGACATGCCCAGGAACAGGGCAGAGGGCTCTCGGAGCCCTGCTGGCCCATCCCAAACACCGAGCAGGCCGGGTCCCTGGGGCGAGACCCGTGGCTTGCTCTTGGGAGGGCTGGTGGCTGTGGCTGCCCAGGGTGGTGCAGCAGCACTGGCTGGGAGTCCTTTTGACACCTACGTCTTTGCTGCCTCCTGCCCCAGTTCCACCGGACAGCCCTGCACCGTGCCTCGCTGGAAGGGCACATGGAGATCCTGGAGAGGCTGCTGGACCACGGCGCCACCGTGGACTTCCGAGACCGGGTGAGACGGGCGCTCTCCCTGCCCGCGAAGCAGTGATGTGCCCAGTTTGGGCAGCACCAGGCCTGGCACCGGGTCTGCACTCCGGCCAATCCATCCAGGATCAGGGGCATCAGAGGAGCCACAGTGGGGCGGAGGATGTGGGGCGGCCAGACAGACCCAGCCACTGCACGGCATACACCCCTTCCTCTGCACAGCTGGTGCAGGGACATGGGAGACGTGGTGACGCCAACCCCGGCTGTTCACACCTCGACTCAGACCCCAAACCAGCGTGCGAGGCTGCTGCCCATGCACATCCTGCCCCACTGCAGGGACTTCCCCAGCCGCTGGAGGGGGTGGAGCCTCCAGTCCCCTACCCCACATGCCCCAGTGCAGTGCGGCTGCTCCTGCAGTTCCAGGGGATGGGCACGCTGCGCCCCACGGGCAGGGGCGGGGGCTGCTCTCGGGCTCCCCGGCCCCCACCTGGGCTTACTCCCGCGCTGCTGCTGGAGCTGGGCGCCTGCCGGCAGCCACCAATCTCTGCTCTGCCTTCAGAGCTGGGGGGCTAAGGCAAATGTTGGAGGGGGCTATAGCCCCCACAACCCCCCCAAGCACCACCCCTGCCCTGAGCTGCTGGGCTCTTTCTGCTCCCCCTCCCCCACCCCGAACCCCTCTGGCTCCTGGGCGGGGGGTGAGCGCCACCCACTGGCAGAGGGACTGGAGGGTGGGCAGTGTGGGGCACAGGGCGGGGAGCCGGGGGTGCGGGTGTTGCTGCTACCGTCCTGACCGGAGTCTCTTGGTTGTGCAGCTGGACTGCACGGCCGTGCACTGGGCCTGCCGGGGGGGGCACCTGGGCGCCGTGAAGCTTCTGCAGGACCGGGGCGCTGACCTCAACCTGAAAGATAAGGTGGGGGCTGGGGGGCCATGGCAGCACTGGGGGGGGAGAGCTATGGCTGGCATACAGCAGTGGCAGGAGACGGGAGGGTAGTGGTGGAGGGGGACTGTCTGGCAGTACGTATCGGGGGCAGGGCCGAGGTGGGTGAATGGGGGGGCAGGGCTGTGGCTGTGGGGGGCAGTGGGTGTGGGGTGCGAGCAGGGCTGTGGTGGGTGGGTAGAGGTGAGGGAGAAGTAAGGGGGCAGGGCTGAGGTGCGTGGATGCAGGGTGGGGGCAGGGTTGTGGCAGGTGAGTAGGGGTGGGGGGCGGGGCTATGGGGGTGGGGGATAGGGCAGAGATGGGGGGTAGCAATGAGGCTACAGCATTTGGCTGTCTGGATTAATTATTTTAAACCAGCGGGGAGCTAATGGCAGGTGCCCCCCCTTTGCCGTACTCAGCTCATGAGCACCCCCCTGCATGTGGCGACCCGAACTGGGCAGACTGATATCGTGGAGCATTTGATCAACTCAGGGATGGATGTCAACTCCCGGGACAGGGTAAGAGCCCCACATAGCAACGCTCGTACCCACGGGTGTCTGGCACCCCCAGCACCAGGTGTGCATCCCCCCACCCCCCTGTGACTGGGGTTTCTAGAGCAGCCCACACTGAAAATGCTGAGGTCAGGGCAGGCTGCAAAAGGGGAGCAGATTCCCCCCAAACTGGTGGTTCACACCGAAGTTAGATTCACCAACCAGTCCCAGACTGTGCTCCTGAACCCCCTCACTAGTTATCAAGAAGCTGAAAAAAGAAATCACCCAGGACCCTTTATTGCATTCCAGTTCTCTGGCTCCCAATCAGCAAACTGGTTCAGTAAAGTGAGAAATTACTTAGAAACTCTGCATCCGATGAAGTGAGCTGTAGCTCACGAAAGCTTATGCCCAAATAAATTGGTTAGTCTCTAAGGTGCTGTCACGGAGTCCCTGGGCGATGCTCTGGAACTGCTCCCCATGAAGTCAGTCAGGACTCTGGGGTAGTCGCCTTTCTGTGAGCAGCCTGTCTTCAGGACACACAGCTCACACAGCTTCCACCTTCCTGGGTCTGACCTCAGAGCATTCAGCATCCTCTGCCCCTCCGTGCGCTTCCCACAGCGAGTCCGCTCAGGCGGGGCTCCTGGGGAAGCCAGAGGGTCCTGCACCCCAACTTCGCAGTCAGACGTGACTCTCAGCCAGCCAGTAAAACAGAAGGTTTATTAGACGACAGGAACATGGTCTAAAACAGAGCTTGCAGGTGCAGAGAACGGGACCCCTCAGCTGGGTCCATTCTGGGGGGGCAGTGAGCCAGACAACCACGTCTGCACTTCACTCCATGTCCCAGCAAGCCCCAAACTGACCCTCCCTCCAGCCCCTCCTCCTCTGGGCTTTGTTCCTTTCCCGGGCCAGGTAGTCACCTGATTCCTTTGTTCTCCAACCCTTCAGCTCTCACCTTGCAGGGGGGGGAAGGGCCCAGGCCATCAGTGGCCAGGAAACAGGGTGTTGGCCATTCTCTGTGTCCAGACTCCTGCACACACCTGCCCTCTAGGGCTCTGCAATGATCATACACCCTTACTCCACCCCCTAGATACTTAAGAACTGCCTAGGGGAAACTGAGGCACCCCCACACTATTCAGAGGAAACATTAAGAACAGTCCCACTTCGTCACATCTCTCCCCCCTTCGAGATCGAACTGAGCGGGGTCACTTTAGCCGGTGACCTGGGGAAGTTCGAAGCCACCAACGTTCCCATGGATGCCCCAGCATCTCTCCCATTCCTTGGTAGGAGTTACACCAGGCCCTTCCAGTTTCACGCCCTCCCTTAGGTCAGGGGTGGTCGATAGCACTCGCAGGCCGCATGTGGGAAGGTTTATGCAGCCCATGCCCTTTGGCCACCCCAAGAATGTCTCCCCATTGACCATCACCTTCTGCTCCCACTGGAGGTCCGAGGGGCCTGGCCCCAGGAAACTCCACACAGACATATAGGTTGGGGTCAGGAGTGGGAGCCTGTCCACATCCCCAACCATCTGGCTGACAGAGTCTGTGGCCTTGGGACCCAGCAAGGGAGCTAGACACCGGGGCTTTTCCGCAGGGTCCCCTTGGTTCAAATCGCCAGCCTGCTCAAAGGCAGTGAGGTGGGCATCCACCTCCCCCCCATCCTTAACCAGGGGTAGCAATTTAGTCTCGAGGTTCCCTGCGGAACTGGCCCCCTGGGATCTATCCCCACTCACCCCGGGGAGGTCCCCTAGGCCTCTCCGCTCCCCCACCGCCAGTTCATGCTGCTGCTGCTTCTGCAGCTCTTTCTCGGGCTCTCGCTGTCTCCCACGGTCCTCTTGCTCTCTCAGACTCAGCTCCAATCCCGTCCGTCTCGATCCCCCAATGGGGAACCCGATCGTGAAGACCCTCGTCTGGTCAGGGACAGGAGTCTTGGCGATACCTGGCTCCCGCTTCAGCTGCTCCCAGATCCTGCTATAGCCCCAGTTGGGGTCAGGAATCTGTCCCTTAGAGCGGTCATCCTCCTCCAGCTGCACGATTAACTCTGCTTTGGTGAACTTTCCAACGCTCAACCCTCTCTTTTTGCACAGGGTTACAATGTCCTTCTTAAGGAGACGGTGACAGGCCATCACTCCGCTCCTCCCAAGTTGTTGTGGACTCACAGGCCCGTGAGTTCTCAGCTCCCCACGGTTTCCAGGGAGAACCCCTAGTGTGCCAGCCCTTCTCGAGGTCACCACCTCTTTGCCAGGGTCGAGCTGCAGACTCCTCCGCCCCTGAGACTGCTCGCTGCAATCCCCAGGGGAACCCTGTTACTGCACAGTCCTTCTCGCTGGTCACACACTCCCAGGGGTTAACCGCCCCCCGAAACCGCTCCTCTCTGAGCCTTCAGCAGGCCTGGTCCTCAGCAATCCCCCTTCGTGTTACTGCTCCCCAGTCACTTACTGCAGGAAGCACCATCCACGGGGTGCAGTACATCCCACCGCTGCCACCAGTTGTCACGGAGTCCCTGGGCGATGCTCTGGAACTGCTCCCCATGAAGTCAGTCAGGACTCTGGGGTAGTCGCCTTTCTGTGAGCAGCCTGTCTTCAGGACACACAGCTCACACAGCTTCCACCTTCCTGGGTCTGACCTCAGAGCATTCAGCATCCTCTGCCCCTCCGTGCGCTTCCCACAGCGAGTCCGCTCAGGCGGGGCTCCTGGGGAAGCCAGAGGGTCCTGCACCCCAACTTCGCAGTCAGACGTGACTCTCAGCCAGCCAGTAAAACAGAAGGTTTATTAGACGACAGGAACATGGTCTAAAACAGAGCTTGCAGGTGCAGAGAACGGGACCCCTCAGCTGGGTCCATTCTGGGGGGGCAGTGAGCCAGACAACCACGTCTGCACTTCACTCCATGTCCCAGCCAGCCCCAAACTGACCCTCCCTCCAGCCCCTCCTCCTCTGGGCTTTGTTCCTTTCCCGGGCCAGGTAGTCACCTGATTCCTTTGTTCTCCAACCCTTCAGCTCTCACCTTGCAGGGGGGGGAAGGGCCCAGGCCATCAGTGGCCAGGAAACAGGGTGTTGGCCATTCTCTGTGTCCAGACTCCTGCACACACCTGCCCTCTGGGGCTCTGCAATGATCATACACCCTTACTCCACCCCCTAGATACTTAAGAACTGCCTAGGGGAAACTGAGGCACCCCCACACTATTCAGAGGAAACATTAAGAACAGTCCCACTTCGTCACAGGTGCCACAAGTCATCCTTTTCTTTTTGCGCATACAGACTAACATGGCTGCTACTCTGAAACCTTAGAAACTCTGCTTACTTACACAAAATGTCCTTCTGAACCCAGAAGGGCCAGCCACCACGTTCCCAGAGCAACGCTGGTTTGGATCTGACCCACAATCCCAAGCTGCCAGCCAAGCCTTTAAACCTAAAACTAAAGGTTTATTACAAACGAAAAGAACGGGAAAAGAGTTGTTCAACGATCAAAGCAGTCAGATCCATACGTACGACTTCAGAGTCCATAGATCGGGTTCTTAGCAGCCTTGGTGAGTTTGCTGGCTTGTCCCTCTGGAACACACCCAGAGTTTGGATGGCTCAGTCAGTCCTTTGTTCAGAGCCTCAGTTTGTAGAGAAGTTGCTCCAGAGATGGGAAGCAGGATTGAAGACAAAATGGAGAAGATGCAGCCGCCTTTTATGTCCTTTGCCACGTGGCTTGTACATCCTTTGTCCCAGACACAAGGTCGGAGCACATGGGCATGGAAAAGCTCTTGGAGTCCCCTGTGCACAGGCATGTCCCTACCTGTCCTGCTGGCTCATACGTGTAGACCCTGGCTTCTCTCAGTGGGCTCATTGTTCAGCTGATTGCTCTTGAAGGGCCATCCAGCAGGCTGGATAGTGCTGATGCCAGTCTGTCTGGGGGTGTCAGCCAGGCCCAGCACAGGTTGGACATATAGATATAGCACACACTTTAACTCACGGTACAAAGGTGATACCAACATATAAACAAGTTTATCATGCTTAGCAAATCATAGGACTGGAAGGGACCTCGAGAGGTCGTCTGGTCCAGTCCCCTGCACTCGTGGCAGGACTAAGTATTATCCAGACCATTTCTGACAGGTGTTTGTCCAGCCTGCTCTTAAAAATCTCAACTGATGGAGATTCCACATGTGACGAAGCGGGACTGTTCTTAATGTTTCCTCTGAATGTTGTGGGGTGCCTCAGTTTCCCCATGGCAGTTCTTAAGTATCTCGGTGGAGGGATAAGGGTGTGTGATCATTGCAGAGCCCTAGAGGGCAGGTGTGTGCAGGGGTCTGGACACAGAGAATGGCCGACACCCTGTTTCCTGGCAACTGATGGCCTGGGCCCTTCCCCCCTGCGAGGTGAGAGCTAAAGGGTTGGAGAGCAAAGGAATCAGGTGACCTCCTGGCCCGGGAAAGGGACAAAGCCCAGAGGAGGAGGGGCTGGAGGGGGAGTCAGTTTGGGGCTGGCTGGGGACATGGAGTGAAGGGCAGACGGGGTTGTCTGGCTCACGGCCCCCCAAAATGGACCCAGCTGAGGGGTCCGGTTCTCTGCACCTACAAGTTCTGTGTTAGACCATGTTCCTGTCGTCTAATAAACCTTCTGTTTTACTGGCTGGCTGAGAGTCACGTCTGACTGCGAAGTTGGGGGGCAGGACCCTCTGGCTTCCCCAGGACCCCGCCTGAGCGGACTCGCTGTGGGAAGCGCACGGAGGGGCAGAGGAGGCTGAATGCTCCGAGGTCAGACCCAGGAAGGTGGAAGCTGTGTGAGCTGTGTGTCCTGCAGACAGGCTGCTCACGGAAAGGAGACTTCCCCAGAGTCCTGCCTGGCTTCGTAGGGAGCAGCTCCAGAGCATCGCCCGGGGACTCCGAGACACCACGACCTCCCCAGGCAATTTATCCCAGGGCTTAACCGCGCTGATAGTTAGGAAGTTTTTCCTAATGTCCAACCTAAACCTCCCTTGCTGCAATTTAAGCCCATTGCTTCTCGTCCTAGCCTCAGAGGTTAAGGAGAACAATTCTTCTCCCTCCTCCTTGTAACAACCTTTTACATACTTGAAAACTGTTCTCATGTCCCCTCTCAGTCTTCTCTTCACCAGACTAAACAAACCCAATTTTTTCCATCTTCCCTCAGAGCTCATGTTTTCTAGACCTTTAATCATTTTTGTTACTCTTCTCTGGACCCTCTCCAGTTTGTCCACATCTTTCCTGAAATGTGGTGCCCAGAACTGCACACAATGCTCCAGTTGAGGCCTAATCAGCGCGGAGTAGAGCGGAAGAATTACTTCTCGTGACTTGCGTACAACACTCCTGCTAAAAAATCCCAGAACGATCTTCACTTTTTTTGCAACAGCGTTACACTGTTGACTCATATTTAGCTTGTGGTCCACTATGAACCTCAGATCCCTTTCCGCAGTACTCCTTCCTAGGCAGTCATTTCCCATTTGGTATGTGTGCAACTGATTGTTCCTTCCTACGTGGAGTACTTTGCATTTGTCCTTATTGAATTTCATCCTATTTACTTCAGACCATTCCTCCAGTTTGTCCAGATCATTTTCAATTTTAATCCTATCCTTTAAAGCACTTGCAACCCCTCCCAGCTTAGTATCATCCGCAAACTTTATAAGTGTACTCTATATTGATGAAGATATTGAACAGAACTGGACCCAGAACCGATCCCTGTGGGACCCCACTCATTATGTCCTTCCAGCATGAATGTGAACCATGGATAACTACTCTCTGGGAACGGTTTTCCAACCAGTTATGCACCCACCTTATAGTAGCTCTGTCAAGGTTCCTTCCCCACTCTGAACTCTAGGGTACAGATGTGGGGGCCTGCATGAGAGACCCCCTAAGCTTATTCTTACCAGCTTAGGTTAAATGCTGTCACCACCAAAGTGTTACACAAAGAACAGGGAAAGAGTCCATTTGGAGACGTCTTCCCCCAAAAATATCCCCCCAAGCCCTACACCCCCTTTCCTGGGGAAGGCTTGGTAAAAATCCTCACCAATTTGCATAGGTGAACACAGACCCAAACCCTTGGATCTTAAGAACAATGAAAAAGCAATCAGGTTCTTAAAAGAAGAATTTTAATTAAAGAAAAAGTAAAAGAATCACCTCTGTAAAATCAGGATGGTAAATATCTTACAGGGTAATCAGATTCAAAACACAGAGGATCCCTCTAGGCTAAACCTTCAGTTACAAAAAGACACAAAAGCAGGAATATATATTCCATTCAGCACAACTTATTTTATCAGCCATTTAAACAAAACAGACTCTAACGCATATCTAACTAGATTGCTTACTAACCCTTTACAGGAGTTCTGACCTGCATTCCTGCTCTGGTCCCGGCAAAAGCATCACACAGACAGAGAGGACCTTTGTTCCCCCCCCCCCTCCAGCTTGGAAAGTATCTTGTCTCCTCATTGGTCATTTTGGTCAAGTGCCAGCGAGGTTCTCCTAGCTTCTTAACCCTTTACAGGTGAAAGGGTTTTGCCTCTGGCCCGGAGGGATTTTATAGCCCTGTGTACAGAAAGGTGGTTTCCTTCCCTTTATATTTATGACAGACCTAGTTTCCACTTTTTGTAGGACTCTTATTTCTGAGTTTTAGATCATGAAGATCTCCTGGTTAAGCCAGGGTGGTCTCTGGCCAGACTTCCTGTCTTTCCTACGCAGTGGGATAGTTTGCTCTTGTGCCCTTAATAATGTCGCTTTGAAAAACTGCCAACTGTCTTCTATTGTTTTTCCCCTTAGACTTGCTTCCCCTGGGATCTGACCTACAACTCCCTGAGTTTGCTAAGTCTGCCTTCTTGAAATCCATTGTCTTTATTGTGCTGTTCTCCCTCTTACCATTCCTTAGAATCATGAACTCATCATTTCATGATCACTTTCAGCTAAGCTGCCTTCCACTTTCAAATTCTCCACAAGTTCCTCCCTATTTGTCAAAATCAAATCTAGAACAGCCTCTCCCCTAGTAGCTTTCTCTGTCTTCTGAAATAAAAAATTGTCTCCAACATATTCCAAGAACTTGTTGGAGATTCTGTGCCCTGCTGTGTTGTTTTTCCCAGCAGATGTCTGGGTGTTCAAGTCCCCCATCACCACCAAGTCCCGGGCTTTGGAGGATTTTGTTAGTTGTTTAAAAAAAGCCTCACCCACCTCTTCTTCCTGGCTAGCGGGTCTGTAGTAGACCCCGACCATGACATCACCCTTGGTTTGTACCCCTTATGTCCTTACCCAGAGCCTCTCAGCAAGTCTGTCTCCTATTCCCATCTCAACCTCAGTCCAAGTGTGTAGGTTTCTAATATCTGTGGCAACGTCTCCTCCCTTTTCCCTGCCTGTCCTTCCTCAGCAAGCTGTACCCTTCTATACCAATATTTCATTCATGTGTATTATCCCACCAAGTCTCCGTGATGCCAACTAGGTCATAGTTGTGTTTATTTACTAGCATTTCGAATTCTTCCTGCTTATTTCCCATACTTCTTGCATCAGTATACAGACATCTCAGATACTGATTTGATTTCCGCCCCCAAGTTCTGTCTTGTCTCTCCTTTATCCCTGCTATAACAGCCCATGCTCCCCCCAAATTGAGAACCTTCTCCCAGGTCTCTATGTTCTTCATGTACCTGTGGGCTTTGGTCACCTGCCCCTTTCAAACTTAATTTAAAGCCCTCCTCACTAGGTTAGCCAGTCTGTAGCCAAAAATGCTCTTCCCCTTCCTCGATGGGGTCTGCCTATCTCTGATTAGCATCCTTCTTCCTGAAACAGCAACCCGTGGTCAAGGAAGCCAAACCCTTCTTGGCGACACCATCCTCGCAGCCAGGCATTCACCTCCAGGATGCATCCGTCTTTGCCTGGGCCCCTACCCTTGACTGAAGAGAACAGCACCTGCGCTCCCAACTCCCTCACCCTTACTCCCAGAGCCCTGTAGTCACTTCGGATCTGCTGAGGGTTAAACCTCATAGTATCATTTGTGCCCACATGGATGAGTAGCATGGGGTAGTAGTCAGAGGGACGGATGATCCTCGACAATCCCTCCGTAACGTCTCAGATACGGGCCCCTGGCAGGCAGCATACTTCCCAGGATGCCATGCCAGGGCGACAGACAGGTGCCTCCGTCCCCCTCAGAAGAGAGTCTCCAACCACCACTACCCTTCGTTTCCTCCTGGGAGTGGCGGCTGTGATCCTCCCAGCCTTGGGGGTACATGGCTTCTCCTTCTCCACCTTTGGGGGCGATTCCTCACCACTCGTTGCCAGGGCAGCATATCGGTTTTCCATCACCATGGTGGGTGGGTTGGGAGTAGGGACGGGGCACAGCCTGCTGCAGGAAGTCACCAGCAGCCAGTGTCCTCCCTGTGACAGAGCCATATCCTCCTCCCCTGGCGGCGTGCACAGTCCTCTCTAGCTGGATAGCGTCCTCAGCCATGGAAGCCTCCATATGAAAACTGTCAGTGAATTCCTTGTGGGCACGGATGCGCATCGGCCTAGCCATCTCCTCCTGTAGCTCTCCCCCCTGCTTCCTGAGAGATTCCACCAGCAGGCCCCTTTCGCACTGGACGCTCCCCCCAGCCTGGCTTTCTGAGAGTGGGAAACGCCCGCCACGGTCTCTGCAAGTCCACGCCAGGATCTGGGGGGAGGCCTCCATGGTTCAGTTCGCTGTCTGGGTACAGGTGCAGGTGGAGGAGACAGGAGCAGCGTGGGCACTGGCCATGTGGCCCTTCCTAACCGTAGCGACACTGTTACGTCGCCCTCCCACAAACTTCTGTTTGCGCTCCCCTGCTCCCAAGCCTTTCTCACTGATACCTTCCGTGGCAGATCTGGTCTAGGATTCACTGCAGTGTGGTAATATCGGTATGGATACCGTTCTAAATGGTCACCCCCGTTCCATCCAGTGTCGCATCCTCCCACCCATACACCCCACCCCCCAAGCCGTGCTGGCCCCGTGCAGACTGGGTGCTGCTGCCCTTGGGGGGCCCAGCCCCGCCATTCTCTCCCTCGCTGTCCCATGGCGCCGGGTGTGGGGTGGGAGCCACGTGCTCGGGGCTCTGCTTTCCTGCCCCAGGCTGGACTGGGCTCCATTTGGGGGAGGGGAGCCGCACTAGTCCCACGGTGGGGCTGCAGGATGGGGGTTCCCTGTGACGCCCGTGTGCTCTGTCCCGTGCAGGAGGGGGACAGCGCGCTGCATGACGCCGTGCGGCTCAACCGCTACAAGATCATTAAGATGCTGATCCTGTGCGGGGCGGACATGATGGCCCAGAACCTGGTGAGTAGCTCCCCCCTGCTGCTGCCGGGGCAGCCCCAGTGGTGGGATCACACAGCGCAGATAAGAGCCTCTGTCGCCAGCGGGGGCTCTCCTTCTTGGGGGGCAGAGCCCCGGCACTGGGAGAAGGGGCTCACCGGATGTGCCGTACAGCAGGAGCCTGAGCTGTCTGCAGTTCATGGAAGGGTGGCAGGTCACGGCACCTCCCACACATCCCAGCCCCAGCTGGGCTGCTCCTTGCTGCTGCCGTCACATGGGGCAGGAGGTACTGGCTCATCTCACTCTCTGCCCCCTCCCTCCCCTCACAGGCAGGAAAGACCCCCACGGATCTGGTGCAGCTCTGGCAGGCAGACACCCGGCAGGCACTGGAGACACAGGAGCCTGGCGAGACGGAGGCCTCGGCGTGAGGGGTGGGCGGAAGGGCGCTGGGCTGGGGATGGGAGCGTGGCCCATTGCACGACTCCCAGCCGTGTGAATCTAGGAATAAAACCCAGTGAACGAGAGTCAGTATCCGGAGTGAGCATGGGGCACGTGGGCTTCAGGGGCAGGTGCTACCTGGCTGGTTCTGTGTCGTCCCTCGGGGGCGGGGAGGGCAGTGCCAGGCTGGGCCCGAGTCGTCCCTTGAGGGGAGGGATGCTGGGCAGGGCTGCACCATTTTCTGTCTGGATTCTTTTTCCTTGTGTTAATCCCATCCGAAGGGGGCAACCCTATGCATCCTGCCCCCACAGTGCTCTGTTCAGTGCCAGATCCTCCGTTGCTGTGACTCGCCAGGCACAATCCAGACCAGTGAGTAGCTGGGTCACCCCAACCCTCTAACTTGGGGGGCCCTTTGCACAAACAGCCCCAGCCTGCAAGTCACTTGCAGCCACATCTGTGGGTGCTGCGGCCGGCCAGCCGTCCCTTGGCTCCTGCCAGCCTTGGTTATACTGCTGGGTGACCCCCAGCACACCCCCAGTTGTAGCTTTCCCCCTGAAAGCATATGTCCTGCACTGCCTAGCCCTCTCCTGGCCAATGCAGGTCTATATAAAGTCCATTACTTAACTTGCCACCCCAGATGGAGGTTCCCAGACACTCCAATTTAAACACGCAGGATTCGGTAAAACAAGAGCGAGCTGTTACGTGTGTACATGACGTGAGGCATAAAAGTCAAAGATGGTTCCAGGAAAATAAAATTAAAAGGCTCCTGGTGCCTAACTTAACGAACTCTGTCAGGCTCAAGCAAAGTGTCTCACTGCATGCTCTCCCTGCGGGTCTCACAGACCAACTCCTAGGTCGAGGTCAGGGCCCCTCCTCCCAGAATCCAGTGAAGGTTCCTCTGTTGCTTTAGGTGCAGAGAATGGCTGGGCAGGGAGCCAGAAGGGTGCCATGGGGTGTCTTCCCCTCCTGTGTACAGCTTGTCCCCCTTTTGAAAAGCATTTCCAGCTGGGCACCGGGAGACAAAAAGTCTATGCGGAAGGATGTTCCCTGCTGCGTTTTTCTCGCCTGTTGGAGCTTCCTTTGTTCCCTTCCTGCTCACTTAAATGCAAATGAAGCAGAGGCCACCCTCCTTCGTTTGAGCCAGGCCTGCTCCGTTTGGAACGTGTGTTAACACCGCCCAGTGGAGTCTTAGAACTTCACAGACAATGTTGCCACACATATTTCACCAGGACACTAACGACCAGCACATGATGAGTTTTCAGACAACACAGCACAAAGCATACCTGTACAAAGATCATTCCAATAGTGTCCAGGGGTGGACAAAAGGTACGTCCTGTCACAATCACCCACATGCTAACTTGTCTGCCTTTAGGCCATCCCACTGCTCCATCGTGGGTCTCCCTGTCTTTTTCCTTCCGATGGACTCTTAGCCAGCTGGCTGTCAGCACGGCGCTGTACGTGCCCGGACGTCTGAGCCTGCACGGCCTCGTTTCTTTGTGTTACACTGAGCGTGTCTCTAACACACACGTTCCTCAGGCGGGCTCTCTTGCCTACCCACCTCATCCATCCCACTGCCGCATTTCCCTGGAACAGAGCATTCATTCATGTTGCTTCTTGGCTGCCCGACACTCAGCATCATACATTGCAAGTGGGCAGCAGACCACCCCGCTACAGCCTTTCCTTTCAGTCTGACTGGGATCGTCCCTGTTTGCAGGGCTGGGTAGCTGTATTGGTCCAAGGATATTACAGAGACAAGCGGGGAGGGAATATCTTTTATTGGAGCAACTTCTGTTGGTGGGAGAGATGAGCTTTTGAGCCACACAGAGCTCTTCCTCGGGCCTGGGAAAGGGACTGGAGGGGTGGAACACATTGTTTAGCATAAGCAGTTAGTCCATATTGTGAGAAACCATTTGTAACGATGCTGCCCGTGGAAGCCAGTTGAGGTCACTCAATCAGGGTGAACTGCAAACATAACGGGGCAGAGAAACCCCACACGCTGGTGGATATTCCAATAGTTAGATTTACCCAGCCAGCCCAAACCAGCCTCTGTATCTCCCCCCTGAGTACTCAGACGTCCACACAACGCAGTTCCCTTAAAGTGCCAGCCTCAGGCCCCCCTCCAGACACACCTGTCAGATACGAGGATGGTGTCACGGAGTGCGGGGGGGTCTGGGCCCTGCACCCCTCTTCCTGGGATTCACTGTGACTCTCAGCCAGCCAGTAAAACAGAAGGTTTATTGGACAATAGGAACACAGTCCCAAACAGACCTTGGGGGTACAACCAGGAACGCTCAGTCAAGTCCTTTTGGGAGGCAGGGAGCTTAGACCCCAGCCCTGGGGTTCCCGGCATTTCACCAGCCAGCCCAAACTGACTCCCTCTCCAGCGCTTCCTCCTCCTTGTCCCTTTCCCTGGCCAGAAGGTCACCGGATTCCTTTGTTCTCCAACCCTTTAGCTCTCACCTTGCAGGGGGGAAGGCCCAGGCCATCAGTTGCCAGGAGACAGAGTGTCGGTCATTTATGTACCCTGGCCCTTTGCTCTGCAACAATTACAGCCCCTTATCCCACCCCCTAGAGACTTAAGAAATGCCTAGGGGAAACTGAGGCACCCCTACAGTATTCAGAGGAAATGTTAAGAACAGTCCCACTTTGTCACAGATGATTACTGAAAATCTTATCTCATCATATAAAAGAAAAGATTCGCCAATCCCAAAGGATCAGCCACACACCCACGTCCAATGATAACTTAGATCTTACCCAAAATACACATTTATAGCCAATTCTTATTAACTAAACTAAAATTTATTAAAAAAGAAAGGAGAGAGAGTTGGTTGAAAGATCAATATACAGACAGACTTGAATTCAATTTCTAGAGGTCCAGACACATAGCAGAGACGAGTGTGTAGTTGCCAAAAGTCCTTTTAGAAATAGTCCACAGGTTACAGTTCAATGTCCATATTCAGGGTGACTCCAGTCAATGACTGGGATCTCAATCCTCATGGCTTGGGGTGTCCCCTTCATAGAATCATCGAAGATCAGGGTTGGAAGGGACCCCAGGAGGTCATCTAGTCCAACCCCCTGCTCAAAGCAGGACCAATCCCCAACTAAATCATCCCAGCCAGGGCTTTGTCAAGCCGGGCCTTAAAAACCTCTAAGGAAGGAGATTCCACCCCCTCCCTAGGTAACCCATTCCAGTGCTTCACCACCCTCCCAGTGAAATAGTGTTTCCTAATATCAAACTTAGACCTCCCCCACTGCAACTTGAGACCATTACTCCTTGTTCTGTCATCTGCTACCACTGAGAACAGTCTAGACCCATCCTCTTTGGAACGCCCCTTCAAGTAGTTGAAGGCTGCTATCAAATCCCCCCTCATTCTTCTCTTCCGCAGACTAAACAATCCCAGTTCCCTCAGCCTCTCCTCATAACTCATGTGTTCCAGTCCCCTAATCATTTTTGTTGCCCTCCGCTTGACTCTTTCCAATTTTTCCACATCCTTCTTGTAGTGTGGGCCCCAAAACTGGACACAGTACTCCAGATGAGGCCTCACCAATGTCGAATAGAGGGGAACAATCACATCCCTCAATCTGCTGCCAATGCCCCTACTTACACATCCCAAAATGCCATGGGCCTTCTTGGCAACAAGGGCACACTGTTGACTCCTATCCAGCTTCTCGTCCACTGTCACCCCTAGGTCCTTTTCTGCAGAACTGCAGCCGAGCCATTCGGTCCCTAGCAGATCTGAGATGAAGAAGGATCGTGTCCCAAGGATTTTAAACATTTCCTGCAGCCTCTTGGCCTGAGAAGACAATCGGCTTCACTTTCCTTCTCCCAAACACCCTGGCAATTAGCACAGGGTCATTTATCCATTAACAGTTCAGACACAGGTTACCACAACCTTCAAAGAGGCATATAGACAACAATACTATGTCACTCAAGTGTCTTCCTAAATGTTAATCCTCCTTTTTCGATCTTTGCCATAGCCATAGCCAAGCCTCGTTTGCTGACATCACAAGCCCTGAGCACACAGCTCCCCTTCTCTCGCTCACCATGCCGGCTGCATTTCACAGCTCTCTCCATTTCCATCTCTTCCTAACCAGCCTTTAAAGTTCAGCCCTGGGTCAGGTCAGTCCGATGAAGTGAGCTGTAGCTCACAAAAGCTTATGCTCAGATAAATTTGTTAGTCTCTAAGGTGCCACAAGTCCTCCTGTTCTTTGTGCGAATACAGACTAACACGGCTGCTACTCTGAAACCTGTCAGTCTGGGAGTTCATTAACCCTTTCTGGCCCTATGTCACCTTTCAGTGAGCTATTATATTACACTTATAGTCACACCATTCAAGGTGAAGTGGCCTGTTAACACATCTGTAATTATAGGACAAAAAGAGGGGGTGGGTTTACAGGTAATAAGCCATAAATCCAGTTCTCTATTCAGTCCATGATTTTCAGTGCAAAAAATCCCACCATCACTGTGGGCTGTATCAGCAGGAGTGTCGTAAGCAAGACACGAGAAGTAATTCTTCCGCTCTACTCCGCACTGATAGCTCTCAGCCGGAGTCTTGTGTGCAGTTCTGGGCGCCACGTCAGGAAAGATGTGGACAAATTAGAGAGTCCAGAGGTGAGCAACACAAATGTGAAAGGTCTAGAACACACGGCCTACCAGGAGAAATTGACAAAATTGGGTTTGTTTAGTCTGGAGAAGCAAAGACTGAGGGGGGCCCTGGTAACAATTTTCAAGTGCATAAAAGATTGTTATAAAGAGGAGGGTACTAAATTGTTCTCCTTAGCCACTGAGGATGGGACAAGAAGCAACGGGCTTAAATCGAGCAAGGGAGATGTAGGCCACGTCTACACTACCGCTTATGTCAGTAAAACTGTAAATCTGTATTTATTCATGCCATATATAAGCAAATAAAAAAAATTATTTTCCTCTAAGCTTATAGAAACATTTACATTTTAAGAATAACTTGAAATGTGCTAACATCAACACGTGAAACATTTGACTTCAAACATTCCATTTCCCCTTTTGTTGCTAACAACAAAAACAGCCCCCCAAGCCCAGCACCCCCCCAGCCCAGCGCCCCTCCAAGCCCGGCACCCCTCCAAGCCCAGTACCCTAGGCTGTCCTGTGGGTCGGCTGCTCCTAAAGCCAGGGCTGGTCTAGGTAATACTGAGTCCTACCTCGCTGCAGGGGGCTGGAGTAGCCAACCTAGCAAGGTCTCTTCCAGCTTGACATGTCTCTGTGATTCTCTGATTTATGACAGGTTTCAGAATAGCAGCCATGTTAGTCTGTATTTGCAAAAAGAAAAGGAGGACTTGTGGCACCTTAGAGACAAATAAATTGATCTGGAGAATGGTGTGGATTGCACCCTCAGCAAGTTTGCAGATGACACTAAACTGGGAGGAGAGGTAGATACGCTGGAGGGTAGGGATAGGATACAGAGGGCCCTAGACAAATTAGAGGATTGGGCTAAAAGAAATCTGATGAGGTTCAACAAGGACAAGTGCAGAGTCCTGCACTTAGGACAGAAGAATCCCATGCACCGCTACAGACTAGGGGCCGAATGGCTAGGCAGCAGTTCTGCAGAAAAGGACCTAGGGGTTACAGTGGACGAGAAGCTGGATATGAGTCAACAGTGTGCCCTTGTTGCCAAGAAGGCCAATGGCATTTTGGGATGTATATGTAGGGGCATTGCCAGCAGATCGAGGGATGTGATCATTCCCCTCTATTCGACACTGGTGAAGCCTCATCTGGAGTATTGTGTCCAGTTTTGGGGAAGGATGTGGAAAAATTGGAAAGCGTCCAGCGGAGGGCAACAAAAATGATTAGGGGACTGGAACACATGACTTATGAGGAGAGGCTGGGGGATCTGGGATTGTTTAGTTTGCGGAAGAGAAGAATGAGGGGGAATTTGATAGCTGCTTTCAACTACCTGAAAGGGGGTTCCAAAGAGGATGGATCTAGACTGTTCTCAGTGGTAGCTGATGACAGAGCAAGGAGTAATGGTCTCACGTTGCAGTGGGGGAGGTTTAGTTTGGAGATTAGGAAAAACTTTTTCACTAGGAGGGTGGTGAAACACTGGAATGCGTTACCTAGGGAGGTGGTGGAATCTCCTTCCTTAGAAGTTTTTAAGGTCCGGCTTGACAAAGCCCTGACTGGGATGAGTTAGTTGGGAATTGGTCCTGCTTTGAGCAGGGGGTTGGACTAGATGACCTCCTGAGGTCCCTTCCAACCCTGATGTTCTATGATTCTATGAAATTGGTTAGTCTCTAAGGTGCCAAAAGTACTCCTTTTCTCTTTTCTGAATTACGACTTAATCTGAAGCCCACTAACCCCCCTTTCTGTCTATGACAGCAGAGGTGTTAACAGGCCACTTGACCTTGCATAGTCTCTTACAATATGTGTTAACTACGTATGGGAAACAATCGGTTCCACCTTGTATTTAGCTGTGACATTCCTGGACTGATCCCAGTCTCCTTCTCTGGGGTACCCCTTCCGCTGCAGTCATTGCCCAGTGTGCGCAACTGATCCCTCCTTCCTAACTGCAGCACTTTGCATTTGTCTTTATTGAGTCCCGTCCAGAGTCTTTAGTAAGACCATGGTTTTAGTGGCTAGCACCGGGAGGGGCTGAAGGGGCCAGGCTCGGCGTTCGAAGGTGCTGAGCCGGTTTCCTTTGAGGAAAAGGGCAGAGAGCTCGGGTATGGTGAGTTGGTCCAATAAAAGATCCGATCTCACCCCGTGCGCCTTTCTGGTATCTTCCAGCCACATTCTACACCACTTCTCTCTCCCCATGCGAGGCAGGCAGTGAACGGGTCGCAGGATTGAAATGACGCCCTGCTTTGTGATCGCTGTGCGTACGCTGACCCCGACTCTCCAGCACCTCTTTTCTGGGCGATCTTTCTCCTCGCTGCGTCGAGTGATACCATCCTCAGCCAGCATGCGCCAACGGGCCTCCTCCAGGCTGCTCCTGGGATTATTTTGGCTGAACTCGTCAATGCTGGTTGTCACGGAGTCACAGGCTGGGGCTGCGGGCACTGCTCTGAATGAAGTCGGGCAGGGCTCTCGGGCAGTGTGGCTCCCCTCAGGGCACACGCTCACCAGGGCAAGAAGCCTCCTGGGCGTCGGTGCTTCCTGGGCCTGACTTCGGAGCGTTCGGCCCCGTTCACCCCGGGAGCTCCCGGCAGCGAGTGCCCCTGGATGGGACCCCTGGGGAAGCCTCACCCGCCCCCAAAGGGCCCTGCCCCCCACTCCGCAGCCAGCCGTGACTCTCAGCCAGCGTGTGACACAGACGGGTTATTAGTCGTCGGGCCCCCAGCGTAGAACAGAGCTTGTGAGTGCAGAAATCGGGGACATTCAGAAAAGTCCATTGTTGCGGGGGGATCCAGAGCCCTGGGCCCTCTCCCCGGAGACCCAAACCAGGAGGCTGACTCACTTCCAGCCGCCCAACCTCAGACACTCCTGTTGCCCCCCTCTGTCCTTTGTCTCTTTCCCAGGCAAAAGGGCCACCTGGTCTCCACCCCCTCCCTGCTCCAGCTTGCACAGGCCTGACCATCAGTTGTCAGGTCATGGAGTACTTCGGCCATTATCTATGTGGAGGCAGCAAGGGGCAGCCACACCTGCCCACTGGGGTCTCAGCAAAAATCACAGCCCCTTGTCCCACCCCCTAGGTATTTGTGTAATGCACAGGGGAAACTGTAAAAAGAACAGGAGGACTTGTGGCACCTTAGAGACTAACCAATTTATTTGAGCATAAGCTTTTGTGAGCTACAGCTCACTTCATCGGGGGGAAACTGAGGCACACAGTATTCACACAAAACATTAAGTAATAAACCTCCTACTTTGTCACACTGGTTATTCCAAAATGCCACTGAAATGATCCTGTATGCCCAGCATTTCCAGGAGAACCTATAACAACACACCAGCCCCTGGAGTCACACCCAGCCCTGATACGCCCATGGGCCATGTCCAACCCTGACACTCGCACTGACCGTGTGATCACCAGCTAGCCCCCTACCATAACAGGGCAGCCCCCTGGCCTCGGCACTCCTGAGAGAGAGCCAATAATACACCAGCATGGAGGGGAGGTCTTACCATAACTGAGCCCATGCAGATCGGGTGCTCACATGCCCCTCTTGAAATACAAACCCACAGGGTGTTTACAAGCCACCTTAGTAACAAACTAGTGCATGCTGCCGCAGATCTCACGGGATCCCAGCAGCGTGTGGGGCCTGGCCCAGCTGCCCCAGGGCAGAAGTCTCTCCTGCCTGGTGAGAATGACTGCAGCTCTGGGGAGTGGGAGCAGAGGGTGTGCCCCAGGACAGCTGAATACCAGCCATGCCCTGCAGACACAGGGCGTCCCTTCCTCCCACGGGCAGCTGCCGCCCACCGCTGCTCATGCTGGGGCCCCTTTAAGAGCCGGAGGGGCTGCCTGGCCAGGATTTGGCAATAGTGGCCTGCACAGTGCTGGGGGCGGCCACGGGCTGTGTGGGGAGCCCCAGGGGCCGGCTAGAGACACCTGGGGGTGCCCCCGCAGACACACGGCCAGCTAGGCCCTCGTGGCTGGGCAGATGGGGCCCTGGGCCCATGCCAGGCACTGATCAGCACTGGTCCACGGCCCCCGGTGCCCCTGGCAGGGCCCCAGTGAGAGGCAGCCAGGAGGGACCTCGCCCCAGGAGCAGCAAATCCCCAGCCAGCCCCATCAATCATTAACAGCCCTGGGCTAAGGCAGCCGTGGGGCAGCAGCTCGGAGTGGGGCAGCAGCTCGGAGCGTGCCCCCAGGCCCTGCGATGGCACAGTCCCGCCGGCTCCTCGCCCCACTCAGGCTGGGGCTGGCAGCATTACGCTGGCGCCCCCACGGGTGGGGCAGGGGGCTCAGCACCCCAGCCACGCCGGGGACCCGGCTCGACCTGCGGGGCATCTTCTCCCCGCTCACCACCCCCTTCACAGCCCAGGGCGAGGTGGAGCACAGCCAGCTGGAGGAGAACCTGCACCGCTACGCCACGGTCCCCTTCCGAGGTGAGGCCGGCCGGGGGGCCCTGCGGGGGTCGTGCAGCCCAGCACCCCACAGCTCTGCACAGTGGGGTCTGGTTATCCCTGGCGGGCACAGGGTCTGCCCCTGCCCCACTGCCATTCCCCCACCCTGCCCAATTCCACATGCCCCCCTCCTTCCCCCCACCCCCTCGTCCTGCCCCCCACGCTCCCACCCTACCTAATTCCACACACACACACCCCCCAGCCTGCCCTTGTGCCCCTGTGTGTCCCCGCCCTGCCCCACACACCCCCGCCCTGTGTGTGCGCCCCCACCCTGCTAACCTGCCCCCCGCACTCCAGTCCCGCCCTCTAGGGCTGTGGGGGATTCTGGCTCTGTGTCCCGTTCAGCTCCTGTGGGGCCGGTTAGCCCGGATTGTGGGGCAGCCACCTGGCCACCGGGAGCAGGCCAGAGCCCCCCAGCTCCTGTTGCGTGGGGCCCCCTGAGCCGCCCGGCAGAAGCTCCATGGGGGCGGGGTAACAGGCTCAGCCGAGCAGAACGGGAACCCCCAGCCCCTCCGGACGGGCGCGTTCCCGCCTCACCCCGGCTTGTTACCTGGGGGCAAGCGGGTCAGCGGCACACCTGGGCCTGGAGGGAGCCAGCCCCACCTGGGGCCTGGCTGCGTGGGGGTGGGCGCGGTGCCCCAGCCCATTGAGCAGGAGGGCAAGGAAGGGGCAGGAGGGGTGGGCTTGGCTGGAACTCGCTGCAGGCTCCTGGCCAGGGATCGTGGCCCCACTCGCAGGGTCTGTGCAGCTGGGGTGGGTGGATGCTGCCTGGCTGCATGGCAGGGGACGGAGCCAGTGGTAGGGGGACTTGGCATCTGGCTCAACGGGCCTCTCAGTCCCCCAAATGGCCCCCACCCACCGACACCCCCAGCCCCCTACATACCAACTTACCAACGGCCCCCACCCTGCCAAAATGGGCCCAACCCCCACCAGCCGCTCCCCGCCCATCCCCTCCAGCTCCCACCCTGCCTAGCCCCCAAACAGCTCCCACCCCCCACCAACCCCTGCCCCGCCTAACCCCCCAAAACAGCTCCCGCCCCATCTCCCCCACCAGCCCCTGCCACACAGGTAACCTAGCAAGAGCACGTGCTCCAGAGCCGTAAGGAGCATTCTCGGGCCCAGAACAAGCAGGCAGACTCCCCCCCAGTCTGGGGTTTTGGGTGTAATTTTTCCGGCCCCCGGGCTTTGTGCCCTGGCTGGCTGCCCCGCTCGCCCCGTCCTGGGCTCAGTCCTGATGCGCCCAGGCAGACTCCGCGCCCACCCTGCAGGGCTGGCTCCCCGGGCCGGACGAGGCCCTTTGCGCACCCTCAACCCCACTCCCAGAGGGTCGCTCTCCCCCAGCGAGACCCTGCGCGCCCCTGCTCAGGGCTCCTGCCCCACCGCGTGGCTGGCGTTCGTGGGCCCCCCGGGTGCTGGGCATGGTGCAGGCAGGGCGCTCGGACCACGGTGGCTAGAACTGGCCGAGGGCACTAGGGGGTGGAGAGTTTTTCTTTGGGATTGGTCCCCAGTCAGTGCCCAGTCAGACCGGGGCACGTGGGGCAGGCTGCTGGCCCCGGCCAGGTTCTAGGCCAAGCCCGGAGCCTGGGTGGCAGCGTCCCGGGACAAGGGGCATGCTGCCTGGCTCGGGCCCCCAGCACACACCTGCTGGTGGGTCAGGGCCAGGTCTCCCACAGCTCGTCCGGGGGCCGAACCGCTGCCTCCGTGCCCGGCCCCACACTCAGCTGGCCCGAGACTCAGCCGCTTCCACTGTCCGGACCCTGCTCGGAGACTCCCAAGCGCAGAGCCCTGCTCCCCCGGCCCCGTGCTCTCCCTGGCCCTGAGACCCAGCAGGGCCAGGTGCTTCCCTCACAATGCCCCCCTGACTGGTGACCCGGGCGCTGCCCGGGGGAGCAGGGAGGCTGAACAGCTGGGACCCACGCCTGCTCCCCAGGTGCTGTTCTGCCCGGCATGGCCCCGCTGTCCCATGAGCCCCGGCCCCCTGCTCTTGCCTTGCCCTGAGCGCAGGCCTATGGGGTCGGCCAGGGCCTCCTGCTGCTGGAAGGTGGCGCTGGCCCTGGGGGCTGCCCTGCTGCTGGGGGCCGGCGCCCTGCTCCTGAGGAGGAGGGACCCCGGGGGGGGCCGCCCGGCGCCGGAGCAGGCTCCGCACTGGATCAGGTCACACTACAGCTGCTTCCCCGAGGAGAGCGAGACAGCAGGGGCAGAGGAGAGGCCCACCGGGCGCCGGGGGGCCGGGCAGCCCCTGGAGGAGGGGGACCAGGGCGCCGAGCGCAGCAGGGAGAGCGGTGCCCCGAGGAGGCGCCTGGCCGAGGCCCTGCTGCTGCGGGCCACCTCCTGCCAGCTCAGCCGCCAGGTGGAGGAGGCCAGGCCCAGCCCGAACACGCCCGTCAGCACGGAGGGAGCGAGTGCCTCCGCAGCTCCCGCCCACACGGTCCACTCCAGGCTGGCCCACCGCTGCAGGGACTGAGCCCCGGGCCGGGGCTCCGGCCCCCAGGCTCTGTGCTTCCTGCGCCCACCCCCACAGCAGGGGCAGCGAGCCAGGGCCCTGCCCCCTGCCCCTCGGACCCACTGCTACCAGCACAGCAGGGCAAGGAGCAAGCGAGGGGATGCAGCCGCGGGCAGAAGAGCGGGTGTGAGGAGTGCCCCTGCGTCGGGGCTCTGGGAACATGGTGCCCCTTCCCGGGCAGCTGCAGCCCTGGCTGGGGAGACCGCAGCGTGCCCCCGCCAGCAGGCAATAAACTCGTTGTGAGCGTCCCTTGTGGGGTGATTTGTGAGGGGTGCGGAGGGGGGTGAGCAGGTGATGGGGTTCGCGCCCTTGGGGCCCGAGGAGGCCGTGCGCTCTGGCGCCTCCCGGCTCTGTGGGTGGGTGGGTGGGTGGGTGTGCATGGTCCCTGCCCCTGCTGGGACCCCTGCTTGGCCTCCTTGCCTCGGTGGGGCTCCAGGGCAGGGCCTGAGTTTGGCTGCAGCTCTTAGGGCTACGGTGCCCATGTGGTGCCCCAAAGTGAGGGGGCTCTGTCGAGTCTCCCCCGGGAGGATCCACCTGTCTGGGTGCTAGGCAGTCAGGCCTGGTGGTTGGAGCGGCAGGCGAAGCCAGACGTATGGTCTGGACCCGGCCGAGGGCAGTGCTGAAACGGGGCTCTGGGAACAAACTGGGTCAGCCTGTGGCCAGGCCAGGTCAGGGCCATAGGCAGAGTCTGGCCGCAGGCTGCAGGTGGGTTGGAGTCACCCCGAGAGGTGGGGGTCAGGATCCAGGGGCAGGGCTGGAGCAGGGCAGGGCAGGGGCAGGGTTGCGGACGGGCTGGCAGCTGAGGGGGTCTGCGGCCGCGAGGCAGCAATGGGGCTCCTGGCTGGGTGGGGGTGTCACCAGACTGGCCTGTGGCTCTGGGGGTCTGTGGAACAGTGGTGCCCGGGGTCACTTGCCCCAGCCCAGGGCTGTCACACGGCTCTGCCCGAGGGGTGTCATGGCAGCTGTGTGGGCAGCCCTGGGCCGGCTGAGGGTTTCGCTGCAGAAATGCCCACTGGGTCTGCCCAGGAGGGGTCCCCGCGTGTCCCTGGGGGGGCCTGGGTGGGACCCACATCGAAAGGCTCCAGCGAGGGCACTGGGTGGAAGGACTGTACCAGTCCTCAGCTGGGCTGCAAGGGTGGGTGCCCCTGGAGCTGGGCACCACCCCATGTGCCCCCCACCCCAGGGCTGGGCACCCTGCCATGCCCCTGCCACCCTGGAGCTGGGCACGATCCCTCATGCAGCCCCCTAACGGGATCTGGGCACTTCACCCCCATCCAGCCCTGCTGGCCCAGCACTGCCCCCCCGGGCCTGGGTCCCGCCTGCCCCTCTGTGCGGGGGGCCGGTCAAGGCCCACCCCTGGTGCCGGGAGCTCTGGGGCAGCCCAGCGGCCTTGTGCTCTGTCTTGCAGGCTTTGTGGTGCAGGGCTCCAGCGGGGAGTGCCCCTACCTGACGCCCCAGGAGCGGCTGGCCGTGGTGAGCCGCGTGCGCCAAGCCGTGCCCAAGGACAAGCTTCTGCTGGCCGGGTCGGGCTGCGAATGTGAGAGGCAGGGATGGGGGGGTCACCGTGGACGTGCCTGGGCGGGTGCCATGGCCACAGGGCCAGGCTCCTGACTCCCCTCCCACCCCCGGGCCAGGGCCCCTTAGTGCTGCACCACCGGCCCCTGCAGCCTGCAGGCTTCGCTCCCCATCTCCCCCCCATGCATCCCCCCCCCAGCCCGGGTTCTGCCCCCCATCCATCCGCCTCCTACCCCCGGCCCGGGTTCCGCCCCCCCATCCATCCCGCTCCCAGTGCCAGGGCCCAGACCCCTCCGTCCCCCCCACTCCCCAGTGCCTGGGCCCGGACCCCTCCGTCCCCCCCACTCCCCAGTGCCTGGGCCCGGACCCCTCCGTCCCCCCACTCCCCAGTGCCTGGGCCCGGACCCCTCCGTCCCCCCACTCCCCAGTGCCTGGGCCCGGACCCCTCCATCCCGCTCCCAGTGCCAGGGCCCAGACCCCTCCGTCCCCCCCACTTCCCAGTGCCTGGGCCCAGACCCCTCCATCCCCCCACTCCCCAGTGCCTGGGCCCGGACCCCTCCATCCCGCTCCCAGTGCCAGGGCCCAGACCCCTCCGTCCCCCCCACTTCCCAGTGCCTGGGCCCGGACCCCTCCGTCCCCCCCACTTCCCAGTGCCTGGGCCCGGACCCCTCCATCCCCCCGCCCCCCAGTGCCTGGGCCCTGCACCTGCCCCCGGCTGGGGCCCTGTCCCAGGCCCCATGGCCCCGCGCGATGCTCTGGCGAGGGCCGTGACGTGACCTCCCGCTCGCCCTCCCCCCAGCCACGCAGGGCACCGTTGCGATGACCGTGGGCATGGCCGAGGCGGGCGCTGACGCCGCCCTGGTGGTCACACCCTGCTACTACCGGGGCGCAATGACCAGCGCGGCCCTGATCCACCACTACAGCCAGGTACGGGACGGACCGCAGCCGGGGGCTGGCTCTGTCTCAGTGACAGCTGGACGGGGGAGCGGGGGCCCTGCAGTGCTGGGGGAGGGGCCTTTGAACAAAGGGGGAGGGGCTCTGCAGGGGGAGGGGCCTATGCGGGGGTGGGGCTAGGCTCAAAAAGGACCCTGGGAGCTCCACTGACCAGGCTGGGGTGGAGCCGAGCAGTTCAGAGTATGGGAGAGGGCTCCGGGCTGGGGCAGGGGGTTGGGATGCGGGAGGGGGTTAGGGCTCTGGCTGGGGGTGTGGGCTGGGGTGGCCCCAGGGACGAGGGGTTTGAGCTGCAGGAGGGGGACCAGGCTGGGGTGGAGCCGAGCAGTTCAGAGTATGGGAGAGGGCTCCGGGCTGGGGCAGGGGGTTGGGATGCGGGAGGGGGTTAGGGCTCCGGCTGGGGGTGTGGGCTCTGGGGTGGGCCCAGGGATGAGGGGTTTGAGGTGCAGGAGGGGGGCTCCAGGCTGGGGTGGAGCCGAGCAGTTCAGAGTATGGGAGAGGGCTCCGGGCTGGGGCAGGGGGTTGGGATGCGGGAGGGGGTTAGGGCTCCGGCTGGGGGTGTGGGCTCTGGGGTGGCCCCAGGGATGAGGGGTTTGAGGTGCAGGAGGGGGCTCCGGGCTGGGGGTGGAGCTGAGGAGTTCAGAGGAGTTCAGGGTTGGGGTGTGGGAGGGGATTTGGGCTCTTGGCTGGGCGTGCGGGTTCCGGGGTGGGGCCAGAAATGAGGGGTTCACGAGGGGGCTCTGGGCTGGGGCAGGAAGTTGGGGTGCAGGGAGTGTGAGGGCTCTGGCTGGGGATGAGTGGTTTGGGGTGCAGGAGGCTGCTCCGGGCTGGGACTGAGGGATTTGGAGGACAGGAGCAGGATCAGGGCTGGGGCAGGGAGTTGGGGGGTGGGGGGAGGCTCAGGGGTGCAGGCTCCGGGTGGCACGTACCTCAAAGCAGCTCCCGGAAGCAGCGGCATGTCCCTGCTCTGGCTCCTATGTGGAGACACGGCCAGGTGACTCTGCGTGCTGCCCCGTCCGCAGGCGCTTCCCCTGCAGCTCCCGTTGGCCGCAGTTCTTGGAGTCAGCACTTGCAGCGGGGTCAGAGTGCGGAGCCCCCTGGCTGTCCCTATGCGTAGGAGCCGGAGAGGGGACGTGCCGCTGCTTCTGGGAGCCGTGTGGAGCCAGGGCAAGCAGGGAGCTGCCTTAGCCCCACTGCACCGCCGACCGGACTTTTAACGACCCGGTTGGCGGTGCCGATCGGAGCCGCCAGGGTCTCTTTTCAACTGGGCGTTCCAGCCGAAAACCGGACACCTGTCAACCCTGCCCCTCAGTGACCGGATGCCTCTTTCCAGGGTGGAGGGGAGCAAAGAGCCCAGTGGCTCTGGGGGTGGGGGGGAAGCTGAGGGAGTGTGACGTGACAGGCTACATGCGACACCATCAGCTCCGTCACCCCCTGGTTTTGGCGACAGGGGCTGAGATTGGGGCAGGGGACGGGAGAGTGAAATTCAGCCCCATTGCTTATGTAGGCCCCACACAAGCCAAAATGGTTGTCGTTTATGTAGGCCCTACGTGAACCAAATTGCCCATTGTTTATGTAGGCCCTACGCTGGTGCGCTGGGTGCCGGGAGGGTGCCTTGCCTAGCAGGGGCTCTTGGCTGGCCGCAGGCTGTGAGGGGTAGGGGCTGTTCCCCTGTCCTACGGGCCCATGCCCAGTGCCCCTCTCGGTGTCCACAGGTGGCAGACGCGTCGCCGATCCCCGTGGTGCTGTACAGCGTCCCATCCAACACCGGCCTGGAGCTGCCCCTGGAGGCCGTGCTCACCCTGTCACAACATCCCAACGTTGTGGGCCTCAAGGACAGCGGGGGGGATGTGAGTGGGGGAGCAGGGGCCATGTCTGAGCCTAGCCACCCTGGGGAGCCCTCACCCCACCGTGCCCGGCTCAGCCCTGTGGGCTCCAGCTTCAGTCAGGGCCTCCCACCCAGGGAGAGGGTGAAACCAGGGGCCCTTCACCCCAGCGCTGGGCCAGGGGCTCGCCTGACTGACCCAATTCTGGGAGACTGGGGAGGGGCTGAGCGGGCCCTGCTGAGCCTCCTGCCCGGTGTGGGGGGCTCGCTGCACTCGGGTAGGGGGTGAGTCTGGGGCGGCTGTGCTGGGGGCAGCTCGGAGCATCCTGTGGGTCTGGGGCCAGGACAGTGGCTCTGCCAGCCGGGCATCAGCACAGCCCGAGTGGCTGTTGGGTGAGGCCTTCGGACCTGGCTGAGGGCTCCTCACGCTGGGGCCTCCGCACTGGCAGGGCCCAGCCCCCATCGCCCTGCCCCATCCCACTTTCCTCCCCTTAGCAATGCCATCACCGCTTCCTGCAGCCAAAGTGCGTTACAGACACTGACTGACCCCGCACCCAGCAGGTCTCAGGGCCAGCGCCCCCAGCAGACAGGCGGGGAAACTGAGGCACGACACAGTGTGGGGAAGGAACTCTCCCCACTGCCAAGATAAGAACCCAGGAGTCCCCCCCCCCCACACTCTCTCTCTCTGCCCCTTCCCCCCCAATCCCTGTGGAATCTCCCAGGAGCCGCCTGGGCCCCAGCCAGAGGGCTGCTCTGGGGTGGAGCCTGTTACTTAGTGCGGGGGGTGCCACGGGTGGGTTGTTTGTGTAGGGCCTACCCAGTGGGGTAGCGGCGCTAGGCTGGTTTGCTTGGTGGCCTAGTGTGTGCCCTGACAGACCATCTGGCCTTCTGGAGCCTGCCCAGCTCACGGTGCCCACAGCTCCATGGTGCTTGGGGGCTGTGGGCACTCGGGGCGTTCCTGGCTCCCGGCAGGACGCGCTGTGTCTCCCCAGATTACCCGGCTGGGGCTGATTGTCCACAAGACCCGGACGGAGGAGTTCCAGGTGCTGGTGGGGTCGGCTGGCTTCCTGCTGGCTGGCTACGCCATAGGTACGGGCAGCCTCTCCGCTGCCGTGGTTTACCCGGGCCCCCGCAGGGGGATGTATTGGGGCTTCGGGGGTATGGGCAGTGTTGGCTACAGCCAGCCGGGGGGAGGGGGCGGGGGGGATGTGGGTTGGGGGGGGCAGGATGTGCAGATATTGGGGCAGGTTGGGTAAATTGGGTTGGGGTACCAGGGAAGGGGTTGGGGTGCAGGGGGTATGATAGGGTGCAGGTTGTGGGGGTGTGGAGGGGGTGGGGTGCTAGGGGGATCATCGGGGGTAGGGTGCAGGATGTGGGGGTGTGGAGGGGGTTGGGGTGGTGGAGGGTGGATGGGGGGCAGGGTGCAGGATGGGGGGGTACAGAAGGGGTGGGGTGCTGGGGGAGGATGGGGGCAGAATGTGGGGGTCCAGGAGGGCAGATGGGGGGCAGGGTGCAGGATGGGGGGGTACAGAAGGGGTGGGGTGCTGGGGGAGGATGGGGGCAGAATGTGGGGGTCCAGGAGGGCAGATGGGGGGCAGGGTGCAGGATGTGGGGGTACAGAGGGCATGGGGTGCTGGGGGAGAGGTTGGGGTCCCAGATGGTGGCCAGGCCCTGGGTACTCTGCTCTCTGCCCTCCAGGTGCCTGCGGGGGTGTGTGTGTCCTCGCCAACGTGCTGGGAGCCCCGCTCTGCCAGCTGGAGCACCTGTGCCAGGAGGGACGCTGGCAGGAGGCCCGGGCCTTGCAGCTCCGGCTCATTGAGCCCAACGCAGCGGTAAGAGACGTTCCCGGGCTGGGGGATACGGGGCACTTTTCGGCACAGCCCAGCGCAGGGCAGACCCCCCCCTGGCCTCCAGGGCCTCAGGGCAGAGCAGCTCCCAGGGGCGCAAGAGAGCAGGACTCAGGTTTTCCTTGGAGTGTTGTGTAGGCAGCAGGTCGGGAGTGAGGGGCACCGGCAGAGCTGGGGGGGCAGGGCTGGGCTAGCAGGGGACTGCAGGTTGGGAGTGAGGGGCACCGGCAGAGCTGGGGGGGGCAGGGCTGGGCTAGCAGGGGGCTGCGGGTCGGGAGTGAGGGGCACCGGCAGAGCTGGGGGGGCAGGGCTGCGCTAGCAGGGGGCTGCGGGTCGGGAGTGAGGGGCACCGGCAGAGCTGGGGGGGCAGGGTTGGGCTAGCAGGGGGCTGCGGGTCGGGAGTGAGGGGCACTGGCAGGGCTGGGCTAACAGGGGTCTATGGGTCGGGAGTGAGGGGCACCGGCAGAGCTGGGGGGGCAGGGCTGGGCTAGCAGGGGGCTGCAGGTCAGGAGTGAGGGGCACCGGCAGAGCTGGGGGGGCAGGGTTGGGCTAGCAGGGGGCTGCGGGTCGGGAGTGAGGGGCACTGGCAGGGCTGGGCTAGCAGGGGGCTGTGGGTCGGGAGTGAGGGGCACCGGCAGAGCTGGGGGGCAGGGCTGGGCTAGCAGGGGGCTGTGGGTCGGGAGTGAGGGCACCGGCAGAGCTGGGGGGGCAGGGCTGGGCTAGCAGGGGGCTGTGGGTCGGGAGTGAGGGGCACCGGCAGAGCTGGGGGGGCAGGGCTGGGCTAGCAGGGGGCTGTGGGTCGGGAGTGAGGGGCACCGGCAGAACTTTGTTGCCCACCTGGCCCTATTACACTTACACATTCATGAGCCCTCTGCTCCCCATTTCCAGCAATCCCGCTGCATGGCAGGGTCTGGGTGCCTGGGAGTGGCAGGGGAGGTGGGGAGATGCCCCCAGCCCCAAGGCAGAGGGCAGCCTGCCAGGCTGGGCTGGAGGCCAAGCGCGGGCAGGATGCCCAGTGCCTCCCCTTCCCTGGTGGGAAGTGCCTGGAACAGTGTGTGCTCTGGCTCCAGCGCGGCCCTGCTCCCCCAGCCCCCCCGGGCTCCTGAACTCCCCTCTCTCCCTGGGAACCCTGGTGTCCTGCCCAGCTACACCCCCCACTCGGGCTTCCCAGCCCAGGATCCGTCCCCCACGCCTTCAGCTCCGCTGCCGGGTCCCTATCCTGGGGGAGGGCCAGGCCAGTATCTTGTGTATGAAGCCGAATAGCCCAGGAGACTGGAGCAGCTGCCCTCACTCCTGGGAGGGGCTCCTGCTGGGCCCGGGGGCCCTGCCCTGGGGGCTCCCGGTGAGACCGGTCCCTGGGCTCTTCCCTAGGCACTGCCTGCTGCTGTTGGAGCTGCTGAAAGCTCCGGCCTCAGGGAGCTGCCAGGCCGGGGGCTCTGGGGCCAAGGGGCAGCCTGGCCGGGGGCTCTCAGGGCAGACTGGAGCTAGGCAGAAGGCAGGTGACTGCTGTGATATGGTGCTCCCCTCCCAGCTCTGCCAATGCCCCTCGGGCCTGACCCCCTGCTGCACCAGCCTAGGCCTCTCGCCCGAACAGGCGGCCACACTGTGCCGGGCATCAGCCACGCGCTCCCCCGAGTATCCCACTGCCTCCAGCAGACAAGCTGCGTCCTGCTTGGCCTCCCTGACAGACACGTGCTGGCCCAGGCCAGCTGGGCTGGAGTCAGGAGTCACCAGGGCAGGCGCCCTGCTCCCTGGAGCCCAACCCAGCCCCCGCTGAGACGCTTTTGCCCTAGGCCTCCCCAGCGCCCCGGGACCTGGCCGGGCTGCAGGCAGGGGGCAGAGAGGGGCAGGGCATGGAGGGGGGACAGCTGAGGGTGTAGCGCCCAGAGGCGGGCGGGGGGACAGGCCAGCCTCTCACCATGTCTCTGGCACCTGCAGGTCACCCGCAAGTTTGGGATCCCGGCGCTCAAGCAGGCCATGGAGTGGTTCGGGTACCACGGCGGGCCCTGCCGCGCCCCCCTGCGCCCGCTGAGCGAGGCCCAGCTGGAGGAGCTGCACAGAGACTTTAGCATCAATGGCTGGCTGTGAGGGGGGGAGGGGAATGGGGGTCCTCACTCCTCCCCCCTCACTGGCACCTTCCCTCTCTCTGCTTCCCCAGGAGTCCCCAAGCCCCCCATGGCACCCAGCCTCCTCCCCAGGGCAGAAGTGCAGCCCCCGCCCAGCCCCAAACCTCGCTGCCTGACACCTAGAGCTGGCCGAGGGGGCGCAGTCCTTCCCCCCACAAGCCCCCTGCCATGGGGCAGAGCCGACCCCCAGGCCTCAGCGACATGGTGGATACCCAGGTCCCTCAAGCCCCCCACCCGGAGAGGCCTGGCTGGGCTTCCTGCCAGCTCGGCCCCCTCCCACGCCCCAGGCTGCTCTGCTCTCAGGGCCACATTCACCCCTGGCCACCAGGGCGTCTGGCTCAGCCCCTGCTCTGGGACAGGCCTGGGGAACAGGGCCCCCGCAGGGCCGTGGGGTCAGCCGGGAAGGGAAACACCCATTGCAGGCCATGGTTCCCGGTGGGGTGGCGGGATGGACCCGGCGCAGGGGGCAGCCCAGCTCGGCTTTCACTAGCTAACATGGTGCCAGAGGCATTGCCCCAGCCCCTAACCCCCGCACTGCCCGACGCCGTCGTTCTCGGGCGAACCATCTCCAGCATGCTGTGGGGCCAGCCAGCCCCTCGCAGCAGCAGTGGGGGATGCCTGCTCCATCCCTCTCCCCAACTTCCCTCGCCCAGCCCCAGTGCCCTGCAGATCTCAGCTCTCCAGGGGTCAGAGTCTAGGAAGAGGCTGCTGCCCCATGGCAAGGGGCATCGCTAGCCCTGGCCTCTGGCGGGATCCCGCCAGCTGCTGGCCCCGGCTGAGCTGTGCCGGCTCAGAAGAGCAGAGTGGGGGCTGCACAGGACCCAGCCAGGACCCTGCCGACCAGGGAGAGCCCTGAGGGCGGCTGTGACCTTGGCAGTGCTGGAGCCGGGCAGCCCCGGGCGCGTTTTAACTGCTGTAAGGTGGGAGTGGGGACGGGCAGTGTCCCTGGTGCACCCTGAGCTGTCAATAAAGCCCTGGTGTCCACACTGCGCCTGCCTCCGCCCTCCTCCCTCACAGAAAGTGGAACGGCCCCTGTGGCCTGGGGACGCCTCGGCAGCTGGTGGGGGGCAGTCGGGCATTATCCTCTCCCAGCAGGGGTGCTGTAGGGGCTCCCAACAGGAACATGGGGGCTTGGGCACGACTGCAGGTGGGCCGCCCGCAGGGCAGGCACGAACCAGCTCCCAGGGAGGGGCAGGGCCAGCCAGCGTGGGCGCACAGAGAGGGCTCTGCCAGCGTATCCGTGCCCTGCCCCTGGCACCTGGGCATGCTGCCCTTTCCCCACTGGAGCTGGGGTGTAGCACCACCCCGGGAAAGCCAAGGCCCTGCCCCCTGACCAGTGCCCCTCCCCACTACAGCAATGAGTGGCTGGCCAGCAACGTGGGGCACCCAGAGCCCAGTGCCAGCAGGCAGAGCTGGACAAGGACACGAGAAGCTTGTGCCAAGTCTCTGAACGGGTCCTCGGCGGGACCCCACCCCCGCCCGCAGAGTCACTGCTCCTGGGCCCCACGTGCCTTTGTTCCAGGGCTTTGGGAGGCTGCAGATGGATTTGGGCATGTGCTAGGTGGGAGGTGTCACAGAGTGTGGAGGAGTCAGGGGCCTGCACCCCTCTTCCTGGGATTCACTGAGACTCTCAGCCAGCCAGTAAAGCGGAAGGTTTATTGGACAATAGGAACACAGTCCAAAACAGAGCTTGTGGGTTCCACCAGGACCCCTCAGTCAAGTCCTTCTGGGGGGCAGGGAGCTTGGACCCCAGCCCTGGGGTTCCCTGTTTTCTACCACCCAGCCCGAAACTGAAACCAAACCTCCCCCCCAGCAGGCTCCCTCCTGCAGCCTTTGTCCAGTTTCCCAGCAGAGTTGTTACCTCCCCCTCCCCGTCCTGGCTCAGGTAACAGGCTCTCAGGTCTCCCATCCCCAGAGAAACTCCCCTGCCACATTCCCAGGTCAACATTCCCCACTCCCTGCTGCATCACATCTCTGAGCGGGGTCACTGTGACCAGTGATCTGGGGAAGTTCGGGGCCCCCTCTCCAGGACAGCACATCCGCTATCAGGTTGGCACTTCCCTTCACGTGGACCACGTCCATGTCATCATCCTGCAGGAGCAGGCTCCATCTCAGGAGCTTGGCGTTGGCTCCTTTCATCGGGTGCAGCCAGGTCAGGGGAGAGTGGTCGGTGTAGACGGTGAAGTGTCGCCCGAAGAGATAGGGCTCTAGTTTCTTGAGGGCCCACACCATGGCCAGTCACTGCTTCTCGATGGCCGCGTAGTGTTGCTCCCGGGGTAGCAACTTCTTGCTCAGGTACACGATGGGGTGTCTCTCCCCCTTTTCATCCTCCTGCATTAACACCGCCCCCAGTCCTGTGTCTGAGGCATCGGTGAACACCACAAAGGGCTTGTCAAAGTCTGGGTTTGCCAGAACTGGGCCACTGACCAGAGCCTCCTTCAGCGCCCGGAAAGCCTCCTGGCACTGCTCGGTCCAGACCACCTTGTCTGGCTTCCCCTTCTTGCATAGCTCAGTGATGGGGGTGGCTATGGCGCTAAAGTGGGGCTTAAATCTTCGGTAGTGTCCTGCCATCCCAATAAAGGCTTGGACCTGCTTTTTGGTGTGGGGAGCGGGCCAGTCTCTGATCACCTCCACCTTGGCTGGTTCCGGCTTTAGGCGGCCGCTCCCCACCCGATGGCCCAGGTAAGATACTTCCGCCATCCCCACCTTGCACTTCTCCGCTTTTACAGTCAGCCCAGCCCCCTGGAGTCGGTCCAGCGCTTGTCTAACCTGGGACACGTGGTCCTCCCAGGTCTGGCTAAAGACACAGATGTCATCAATATACGCCACGGCAAAACTCTCCATCACCCTCAGTAGCTGGTCCACTAGGCGCTGGAAGGTGGCCGGCGCTCCCTTGAGGCCGAAAGGCAGGGTCAGGAACTCATAGAGCCCCAGAGGGGTGATAAAGGCCGATTTCAGCCGGGCATCTGCATCCAGCGGCACTTGCCAGTAGCCCTTTGTAAGGTCCATGGTGGTAAGGTATCGAGCTCCTCCCAGGTTGTTGAGGAGCTCATCAGGCCTGGGCATGGGGTAGGCATCAGATACAGTGATGGCATTGAGCTTCCCGTAGTCCACACAGAACCGGACCAACCCGTCCTTTTTGGGGACCAGCACCACCGGCGAGGCCCAAGGGCTGGCCGATGGCTGGATCACCCCCAAAGCCAGCATGTCCCGGACCTCTCTTTCCAGGTCCTGAGCAGTTTTCCCTGTGACTCGGAAAGGGGGGCATCTTATCGGCGGGTGCGACCCTGTCTGCACCCGGTGGACAGTCAGATTAGTGCGTCCAGGCTGGTTGGAAAACACCTGTCGGTACGGATGCAGCACCCCCCTGACCTCAGCTTGCTGGGCAGGGGTTAGCTGATCTGAGAGGGGAATTGTTTCCAGGGGGGAACCAGCTCTGGTCCCAGGGAATAGATCTACTAAAGGGTCATCTCCCTGCTCCTCCCACTGTCCACACACATGGCCAACACCACATTCCCCCTGGCATAATATGGCTTCATCATATTCACATGGTACACCGGTTCGACAGCTCCACCACATAGTTTACCTCATTGAGCTGCTTGACAACCTTGAAAGGGCCCTCCCAGGCGGCCTGTAGTTTGTTCTTTCTCACAGGGATGAGAACCGTCACCGGATCCCCGGTGGCGTAGGCCCGGGCCCGCGCTGTGCGGTCATACCAGACCTTCTGCTTCTTCTGGGCTCTGGCCAGATTCTCCCTGGCCAGGCCCATGAGTTCAGCCAGTCTCTCTCGGAAGATCAGGACATACTCCACCACTGACTCTCCATCAGGAGTGGCCTTTCCCTCCCACTCGTCTCTCATCAGGTCCAGGGGGCCCCTCACCCTCCTTCCATATAACAATTCGAAAGGCGAAAATCCGGTAGACTCCTGGGGCACCTCCGTGTACGCGAACAGCAGGTGAGGTAAGTACTTGTCCCAATCCTGCGGGTGCTGGTTCATAAAGGTTTTCAGCATCATCTTTAGCATCGCATTGAACCTCTCCACCAGCCTGTTGGATTGGGGGTGATACGCTGAGGCCCAGTTGTGCTGGACCCCACATTTCTCCCACAAACTCCGGAGCAGGGCCGACATGAAGTTGGACCCTTGGTCTGTCAAGACTTCCTTGGGGAACCCCACTTGGCTGAAAATGGTCAGGAGCACATCTGCCACGGTGTCTGCTTCAATGGAAGCTAAGGGCACTGCCTCGGGGTAGCGGGTGGCAAAATCTACCACCCCCAGAATGAAAAGGAGTACTTGTAGCACCTTAGAGACTAACCAATTTATTTGAGCATGAGCTTTCGTGAGCTACAGCTCACTTCATCAGATGTGTATTTCTTCCCCGACTGGGTCGTCTTGCTAAGAGGTGACTCTCTCTCTATGTCCTTGGCCACCTTCTGGAAAGGCTCCTCTATGATGGGCAAACGTCTCAAAGCCGCTTTCCCCTTGTCCCGGGACTTCCCCACCCTCTGACAGGGGTCACAGGATCGGCAATACTGCCGGACAGTGGTAAAGACCCCGGGGCAGTAAAAGTTCTGTAGCAACCTCTGCCGGGTGCGCCGGATTCCCTGGTGCCCTGCGAGGGGGATGTCATGGGCCAGGTACGGTAGCTTGCGGCGATACTTCTGGGGGACCACCAGCTGCCTCCTGATCCCACAGGACTCCACTTCCCCGGGGGAGCCCATTCTCGGTACAGGAACCCCTTCTCCCACAGGAACCTCTCCTGGCAGCCTCTCCTCGTGGTCCGTACCACACCGAGGTCGGCCAGGTCCCTGAGCTTCCGCAAGGAGGGATCTTTCCTCAACTCGGCCTGGAACTCAGCGGCTGGGGAAGGGATGGGGACCGGCTCCCTCTCATTGGCTGGGTCTGAGGCCTCTGCCTCTCTGAGCCGTGCCCCTCGGCGCTCCCTCCCCACCAGGGTAGGGTCCTGCACCTCCGGTGTGATACCCTCCCCGAGATCAGGGCGCAGTGCTCCTCGCTGGCTCTGGCTACGGGTCACAACCAGGGCGGTCTGGGGTTTGCTTGGCCAGTCCTCTAGGTCTTCCCACCCCCATCAAAACCTCGGTGGGCAAATGGTGGTGCACCCCCACATCCTTGGGGCCCTCTTTGGCCCCCCATTTCAGGTGTACCCTTGCCACGGGCACCTTAAATGGGGTCCCGCCCACCCCGTCAGGGTCAGGTAGGTGTTGGGCACCACCCGATCTGGGGCCACCACCTCAGGCCGGGCCAGCGTCACCTCCACACCCATATCCCAGTATCCATTGACCTTCCTCCCATCCACCTCCATGGGAACAAGGCACTCTCTCCAGAGGGACAGCCCCGCGC